CACAAGAGATAAGATCAACATAGACAGGTGATCACACAAGAGAAAAGATCAACATAGACAGGTGATCACACAAGAGATAAGATCATCATAGACAAGTGATCACACAAGAGACAAAATCAACATAGACAGGTGGTCACACAAGAGAAAAGATAAACATAGACAGGTGATCACACAAGAGGTATGGTCCTCATATACAGGTGATCACACAAGAGATAAGATCAACATAGACAAGTGATCACACAAGAGACAAGATCAACATAGACAGGTGGTCACACAAGAGACAAGATCAACATAGACAGGTGATCACACAAGAGATAACATCAATATAGACAGGTGATCACACAAGAGGTATGGTCCTCATATACAGGTGATCACACAAGAGATAAGATCCACATAGACAAGTGATCACACAAGAGATAAGATCAACATAGACAGGTGGTCACACAAGAGAGAAGATCAACATAGACAGGTGATCACACAAGAGATAAGATCATCATAGACAAGTGATCACACAAGAGGTATGGTCAACATAGACATGTGATCACACAAGAGATAAGTTCAGCATAGACGGGTGATCACACATGATGTATGGTCATCATAGACAGGCGATCACACAAGATGTATGGTTATCATAGACAGGCGATCACACAAGATGTATGGTCCTCATATGCAAGTGATCACACAAGAGATAAGATCAACATAGACAGGTGATCACACAAGAGGTATGGTCCTCATATACAAGTGATCACACAAGATATAAGATCAACATAGACAGGTGATCACGCAAGAGATAAGATCAGCATAGCCAGGTGGTCCCACAAGAGATAACACCAACATAGACAGGTGATCACACAAGATGTATAGTCATCAAAGACAGGTGATCACACAAGATGTATGGTCCTCATAAGCAAGTGATCACACAAGAGATAAGATCAACATAGACAGGTGATCACACAAGAGATAAGATCAGCATAGACAGGTGGTCACACAAGAGATAAGATCAACATAGACAGGTGATCACACAAAAGATAGATTAGCATAGACAGGTGGTCACACAAGAGAAAAGATCAACATAGACAGATGATCACACAAGAGGTATTGTCCTCATATACAGGTGAGCACACAAGAGATAAGATCAACATATACAAGTGATCACACAAGAGATAAGATCAGCATAGACAGGTGGTCACACAAGATGTATGGTTATCATAGACAGGTGATCACACAATAGGTATGGTCACCATTGTCATTAATTTAAGCATTGGAAATCATACTGAAGGTAGGATTCGATTAGGTATAGAAATATCAGTGGTCATACATTCCACTGACGTTTTCAATTAGCATTCTAAATATTTTTGAATTGATAAGGCCTTTTCGACAAGAGTGTATTTTCTTTAGGTGATTTTTTGTTTCATGATATATTATATTATTTTGTGTCATGCTAACATCGTGACACATTTATTTTAGTTAATGCTTTTGTGTCATGCTGTTTCTTTAAATTGTGTCATGCTAACATCATGACACATTTATTCTAATTGATTTGTTTGTGTCATGGTGTTTCTTTAGTTAGCATGACACATTTATTTTACTCTGTTTTTGTGTCAGGCTGCTATCGGCCATCGTAGAAAGCTATGTTATCGCAGCTAGATAACTACATACGTCTGCCTTACTTTTTATGAGTCATACAACACTGTCGGTTTATATGCCATATATAATACTGGGCATGGTAGTGGTCGGGTGAATGTGTGAACTTCGATTTCCCTGGCGGAGAAGTGAACCACAAGACAACAGGAAACTAACAGGTACTGATAAATGACTTAACTACTGGCGTTATAAATATATGCGACATGTTTTCAGTATTGTAATAACTAGCACTGTATCTAGACTGGTAACGCCCCTTCCACTCCACTCAATACACTACCCTACATAGCACACGATAATAAGGTATAGTACGATGCAACGAGAGGCTAGCAAACTATTGTAGCAGGCCTGGCCTTGTCTTCTGTGTTCATCAATTAGAGTTTAAGTTTCTTCACAAACACAATAAAAACAGTTCACTTGTTTTTATTACACATCATTGTCAATCAAATTTGTACAGGGGTGCTGCAACTCTACATCATGCTCTCATACTGTCAGAGGTCAGTTTGACGGGAGACAATAATGTACTGCATAAAACTTCAAATATAGATTTGGTTTGTTTGTGTTTTACGTATACGTCCTTTTAGACATTTCTCATTTTGGGGTAGACCTAGCACAGAGCGTGGAGACAGCGGCCCAGACAAGTAAATACAGGGGTCAGTGATATGGAACGTAGCGTATAGGGGATATCAGAGTGTGTACACACGCATGCAACGTGACTACAGGTAAGCAAACAGGTAAAACCCCTGTCACACTAGGGCCGCGTTCCCACGGCGTCCAAGAAAAATCCAGAACGCCGATCTGCGTGCAGTGGAATCGCAAGCATCGACGCGGCAACGCAGTGGTATCGCCAGTGAACGCGGTGGGATCGCATAGAACGCCGAGTGACGGTGCGCACTTTGAGCATGCCCAAAACAAACGCCGTCGCTCGGCGTTCTGATAAGAGCGCAGTGGGGTCGCCGAGAGGTCGCTGTAGCAGCGCAGTTAGGTCTCCTACAACGCCACAGGATCGCCGCGGGCGCGCACAGAGGTAGCAGTGCGAACGCAATGGTCGTACGGCGTTCTCTGAGATGATACTGCGTCTCTACCGCGCTTATACGGCGCTGTGACAACTCGATGCACGCGGTGGAAGCGCCGTGAGAGCGCCATGAGAGCGCAGACAATCGCCAACTAGAACTCCGTAGGAACGCGATAGAACGCCATGGAGCTCCGTAGAAACGCCAAGGTCGCCGTGAAAACGCCGTGACATCGACACCTTCATGAAAAATATCATTTTTTTTCCTGCGATCTCACGGCGCTCTGGGAATTTAACAACGCCGTGCAATTGTAGTGACAACGCGGCTAGGTATGACAGGGGCTTTACAGCATATGGAGACACAGATAAGAAATTATGTAACCGGTAACCACAGTCGTTATAGTCTTTTTCGTGGCTCAATGCGGCAGGTATGTGACCGTGGTAATTGATATTTCAAAATCTCCGTTAAGGATCCCACCCGGGACGTCTGTTGTATTTTTCTGACGACGATTGAGTTAAAAGAAATTCCCCGAGCCAAAATAATCAGTCGAAAGAAGTTTGTATTTTACCAGAGTGACAGCTAGGGATCACATAAACATTTGTGGAATCAATTTACCAGGCCCTGTGAGTTCAAAAGTCCTGCCTATCCAGGTCACTCTCTGAGGTCGGACAGCTCCTCAGATGCGGATAGCTAGCTGTCACAGCTTGTATTTTACCAGAGTGGCAGCTAGGGATCACATAGACATTTGTGGATTAAATTTACCATCCACAAACTTCCGCTGACACGATATTTTCATATTCGGTCCACGTGAGGTTGTAAGTTGCCGCTTACCAGCCCTGGGAGATTCAAAAGTCCTGCCCATCCAGGTCACGCGCTGAGGTCAGACAGCTCCTCAGATGCGGATAGCTAGCTAGGTTGTCACAGCTACTGCGGTCCACGGAACGACGACCTAGGTGTAGTCCTCCTATGAGACACGAACATGAACGTTGGTTTGTTGGTTGGTTGATGTGTTTTACTTCTACACTTCACTGACGAAGTTGGTGTTTGGTCGCTTCGGCGAGTGTTTTGATTGGTTAAAAAAAACCTGACCAATCACTAGGCTGATATTTGTCCTTTGAAGATTACAAAGGAGCGACGCCCGACTTCAAAGCCTGTCATTGTTTACCGTTACGCGACCGCGAGATTCTTTTGATGTACATCAAAGGACCAAACTAGTCTTCCCGTCTCATTCGATTTTGCTATGACATATTCCAGGGGTGCAAAGAGCAAACGTGAGCGTAACCCATGGATATCGAGGATGGATGTCCCTAATCTAAAGTGGCAAGCTACGATAACATGTAGACATATATAGGTCGATGTCAGCTGTCCTATGTACAAAACTATGTATTTACATTGTGTTAACATATACACTTCTGTCTAAACTGGAATCTGTCCCGAACCCATTCAAATTCAACACAGCACTGGAACTGTCTTGAACTGATTCGGGACAAACGGACTGGAACACCTCATTTGCTGTGAGAGTTTCATCACCAGCCATGGTGAAAGTAGTGTCGATGTGTTGTAGGATAATATACGAACTAAAATATCATTTCATAGGTTCATGGCTACACAGCTTAAGATGAAGTCCATGACACCATCAAGATGACACTTACATGGTAGGAAGATAGAAACTAAATAAACGGAAAACAGTCCAAGGAATGATGTTTGCGGAGTTCTTTGCAAAAGAAAACTTTGGGAAAGGAAAGAAATGAAAACAAGAGGAATATAGGAGCTCTGAAGACTGCCAAAGTTAGACCGATAGATAAACACTATAAAGAGCAGGTGAAACCATTTCAGAGAAAGTCTAATAATTACGGAATGCAGGAACAACCAGACAAAGTGGATGACGAAGCTGACTAGTTTAACGAGTGTCATAAAGAAGAAAAGGGGAAGCAATCGATCCTATAAGAGATGAAGACTTAAATACAGCAGGGAATTCATGGAACCAGTAAAACCATACTTCTTTTTGACAAAACAAACCATAGGTGTAATGTAGTTAAAGAAATATTTAAAAAGACAATACCAACATCAACACTAGACCACGTTATTAAAATAGATGCTTAAAGAATACAGCCAATAACCAGGCGACAAGTGATATCAACACATATATACGCCACATACAAGATACCCAGTAGCCCAGTATAGTCGATAGCAACAATTAACAAAGGTTAATTTATTTTAATTTAAAACGTAAGTCTCATTGCAGGGATATACAGCGGTAACCATGGAGATCTTAGGGTTGGTGGATGTGCCTACGTGGTTACTTGTCATCATCCTGATGCCTGTATTACATGTCATGTAAGTATGTCTCCGCTGGTTTTAATAGGACAAATAATGAAATTTGAACTGAGGTTCTTCTCAATGTTAGTTTGAATGAAACGTGAAAGCAGTTGCTCAAATTTTGTTTCTTCAATATCCTCTAATAGTTCCGAATCTACAAGTGGTTTTACACTGCTGAATCATACGAACATGCAGTAAGATACAGCAGCTGTTTCCTTTCCTCCGAAAATGCTGTGATTTTATAGCAGAATTTGAAATAATAAATTTTGGCGCTGCAAGTATTCAGATACGGACGAGATTTTTCTTTTTAGAAAGACTTAACTAAAAACGGAAAACAATTTACAACTGCAATAGACACAAAAGGACACAAATAATGGTAGAAGCGATCACAAAACCGACGCGTATTGCTAGACATGTGGTAATTGTTTTGAAGCAGCAGTAACGATAATAACAAATAATTATGGATTGATGTGAACAAAAATTGCACTATATGATTACAGATCACATACAAAGCACCGAAATGATAGGAAACGGTGTGGACAGATTGTCATAATCCAATATCAAACAGCGGATTCATTGATTTAAAAAAAATTCAAACGTTAAATTATGCATATTCCGTCTTTGCGTATTGCTTGTTTACCGTTACGCGACAGCAGGTATTGATTGTTACGTCATTTGTTTGTGAGAATAACGTCATCAAGTTTTGAGAAAACGACGTAATTTTCTCACACAAACCAATGACGTAACAATCAATAGCCACCTGCTCACAAGAAACATCACGAATTTCCTATGTCCTATGAGATATACAACTCAATATTTTCCGATTCAATTATATTTTTATTTGATTATTCCACAATGTTCAATGTCCGAATGGTTGTTGAATGGCCGATTGCATTTATTTTTTAGATATATGACATGGGGATTTAACAAGTTCAAGGACATGGGCATAGACGGACCAGCACCGAATCCCTTCTTTGGTCATTTTCATTCTTTATTTTTTACAAGGGTTTGTAAATGTTACTTCTTAACTCCCTGTTGATATATGGCAATCGTGTATTAAATTGTTTTTAAAGTTTAAAATGGACCTCTCCAATATCCACGCAATACTTCCATTCAACATGAGTGGCTTCGATTCGTAAACCCCATATCGGGAATCTTCTATATAATGCATTGATGAAAACATTTCACCTATTTCGAATATCAATACAAGCTTTAAGAGATAAAGCTTTCATAATTCTAGGTTTTATTTAGATTAAAACTGCGAATTAAATTAATAAAAATCCGATAATTAGTTGTACAATAAAATAATGTCTTACAGCAAAATATTACGTATTTCTGTAATCGTATGTAAATATACATGCTGTTTTTCATAATTCAGGGAATGATGAACTGTGATCGGGATTGGTACAAGACATACGACAAAGTTTATGGGTAAGACATTTAAAAAATCACTATATAACCTATAGTTACTTTTTCCTTGTACATAACGTCAACTTATAGATATTTTATAGCTAAATATATTGATTCTGAGTTCTTGTTATAATGTAGATTATCTTTTCCTGTCCAGTCCTAGTGTTAACTACAATTCTCCCTGTTAGGACACTTCAGTATAATACGTACGGTCCTCAGAACATGTTTCCAGCCATGGGGTTAACGTGTTTATCACACTAACTTTGTCCTATAATGTCGGTGATTTTATATTCCGAATATGATAAAGACTATGATGACGGATGAGAGTGAAGGCAACTCTTACAATTCCGGATCACTCGGATTTGTCTCCATTTGTGGGTGTTTGATATGTTTTTCATTTCCTGATTTTGAATTTTCATATCGTTTATGAGTTCAAATTATGTCCTTGTATTGTGTGTATTTCTATGTTTATTGATGCTATTGTATATTTTGTCATTGTTTGTTGACGCTGTGGCATATTTTGTTATTGTGTGTTGACGCTGTGGCATATTTTGTCATGGTATATTGACGCTGTGGTATATTTTGTCATTGTATGTTGACGCTGCGGTATATTTTGTCATTGTATGTTGATGTTGTGGTATATTTTGTCAATGCATATTGACGCTGTGGTATATTTTGTGATTGTATGATGACGCTGTGGTATATTTTGTCATTGTATGTTGACGCTGTGGCATATTTTGTCTTTGTATGTTGACGCTGTGGTATATTTTGTCAATGCATATTGACGCTGTGGTATATTTTGTCAATGCATATTGACGCTGTGGTATATTTTGTCAATGCATACCGACGCTGTGGTATATTTTGTGATTGTATGTTGACGCAGTGGCATATTTTGTCTTTGTATGTTGACGTTGTGGTATATTTTGTCAATGCATATTGACGCTGTGGTATATTTTGTGATTGTATGTTGACGCTGTGGTATATTTTGTCATTGTATGTTGACGCTGTGGTATATTTTTGACACTGTGGTATGTTGTCTCATTGTATGTGGACGCCGCTAATTAATGTATTTTCAATATATTGCATTTATGTGATATGTATTCTATTTGTATGTTAATGCTGTGGTGTATATTCTTATCATGTGTTGACGCTGAGGTAAATATTCTGTTTGTATGTTGACGATGTGGTAAATATTCTGTTTGTATGCTGACGCTGAGGTATACATGTATATTCTATTTGTATGCTGACGCTGAGGTATATATGTATATTCTCTTTGTATGTTGATGCTGAGGTACATATTCTCTTTGTATATTAATGAGGTGCTTTATGTTGACGCTGTGGTATATGTTATCTTTGTATGTTGACGCTGTGATATTCTCTTTGTAAGTTGACGTTTTGGTATACATGTATATTCTATTTGTATGTTGACGCTGAGGTGAATATTCTGTTTTGATGATGACGCTGAGGTAAATATTCTGTTTGTATGTTGACGCTGTGGTATATATTCTATTTGTATGTTAATGTTGCTGTACATATTTTCGTTGTATGTTAATGTTTAAATATATATTCTCTTTGTATGTTGACATTTTTGTTTGATAACGCTGTGGTATATATTCTGTTTGTATATTGACGCTGTGCTCTACATGTATATTATCTCTGTATGATGATGTGGTATACGTATTTCTATTTGACTTCCATAAAATTGATGCTGACGCTGAGGTATATATGTATATTCTCTTTGTATGTTGATGCTGAGGTACATATTCTCTTTGTATATTAATGAGGTGGTATATATTGACGCTGTGGTATATGTTATCTTTGTATGGTGACGCTGTGATATTCTCTTTGTGTGTTGACGTTTTGGTATACATGTATATTCTATTTGTATGTTGCTGACGCTGAGGTAAATATTCTGTTTGTATGTTGACGCTGTGGTATATGTTATCTTTGTATGTTGACATTTTTGTTTGAAAACGCTGTGGTATATATTCTCTTTGTATGTTGATGCTGAGGTACATATTCTCTTTGTATATTAATGAGGTGGTATATGTTGACGCTGTGGTATATGTTATCTTTGTATGTTGACGCTGTGATATTCTCTTTGTGTGTTGACGTTTTGGTATACATGTATATTCTATTTGTATGTTGCTGACGCTGAGGTAAATATTCTGTTTGTATGTTGACGCTGAGGTTAATATTCTGTTTGTATGTTGACGCTGAGGTAAATATTCTGTTTGTATGTTGACGCTGTTTGTATGTTGACGCTGAGGTAAATATTCTGTTTTTATGTTGACGCTGTGGTATATATTCTATTTGTATGTTAATGTTGCTGTACATATTTTCGTTGTATGTTAATGTGGTTTACATTCTCTTTGCATGTTGACGTTTACGTCTATAGTGTATATGTATATTCTCTTTGTATGTTGATGCTGAGGTACATATTCTCTTTGTATATTAATGAGGTGGTGTTTGTTGACGCTGTGGTATATGTTATCTTTGTATGTTGACATTTTTGTTTGATAACGCTGTGGTATATATTGTGTTTGTATGTTGACGCTGTGCTCTACATGTATATTATCTCTGTATGATGATGTGGTATACGTATTTCTATTTGACTTCCATAAAATTGATGGATGTGTTAATCATTATTTTATTTTATGATGAACGTTGGTCTGTTAACACGTTTGTGAGAAAATTCGCACAATCTAAAACGTTTAATCATGATATTGGAAAGCAAAAACTATGAAGTATCCATTGCATTCATTGTCTTTAGAATCATACGTTATCAAATTAACTAGAACTTTAAAATGGCATGGCTGATGCCATATCAAACTTCAATCTTCTATCGTAATACCAGCTTGTCCTCAGAATATGTATATTATATCATTAGTTTGGGGAGAACTGGTAAATTAGGTGATGATAAATCCAAGTTAATAAGGCGGCGCGTTACCGGCTTTACAGTAGTCGGTAAGATCTTCAAAAATATGGCCCGATATAGTTGAAAGCCTAAACGATTAGCCGCCAATTCTGTGTTGATGTCAGTGATTACTTTTGTTTTCTTTACAAGGACTTTTGAAGGAAAATATGCTGTTTTAAATATTGGAAAGCCAGAATTGATAAAGGAGATTTTAGTGAAGGATTTCAGCAGCTTTGTCAACAGACGAGTAAGTAATATCTATACAAATACTGCTAATTAACATCAACAAGTATAATTCCGTTCTATTAGCCATTTTATAATCTCGTGCAATGTCATTTAGTGATGAGTTTCTGTTCATAACGATTGATTTAAAACAAAGTAGTGGAGCCAATGTCATAAGACCTTGATGTTCACCTTCATGAAAAGTAACATAATTTTCATTTCTTTCGAGGATGACTTCAATGCAGCCCTCGAAGAACCCATGGACCAGATGTTGACTCAACTTCAGAATGACCACTGGAAGTTTGTTAGACGCACCCTTACGCCTGGGTTTAGTGGCCGCAAACTAAGAGGCGTTAGTTGTTTCATTGTTTATATCGAATTGCACTTCATGATAGAATCGTGTTTGTGCTAATCAAAAAACACCTATAGGTTAATTGACGACCTCGTGTATTAAGTATGTTTAACACTATCTAACAACAATTAAGTTTGTCCATAGGTAAATATTCCGTTGTGATAAATCAATTTTAATACGAGTGAAATATCATTATTACCCATTTGGTAAAATATGATATTGAAAAATAAACAGTATTTTTTGTCTTCACAAGTGATGATACTTGGGAAGGTATACATCTATTCCTGACATATCAGAAAAGGTACTTTCTAATCGTTGTATTCAACGTTGAGATACAGGTTTAGCGACATTAGATCAAGAGATTATGTATGTACACCATTGCTACACACACTATGGTATTGACTGAACTACAAAATTAATTTTATGTTTTTACAAAATTTACCAAAAAAGAACAACAACAGAAAACGGCATAACTGCGTTTAGTAGCCCATTCAAAATGACGAGCAGCGTTGTTGTCAAGGGTAGAGTCATTAATGGTGGAATATGCATGTACCGTTTCTCTCTTGTGCTTCGAACTCGTATTGGACTTTTGTGGACTCCGGTATGACTTCGCAACGTATTAAATGGCATATATTATCACACCGTAAAACATTTTGCATATAAACAGTAGATTTTTATTATTATTAAAAAACCTGGCAGATTTTGTATTATGTATTACTCTTATTGCTTGTTTGGATTTGATATACATGTACCCATTGGTTTCGACACAGGAATTATGAAATTCAGACAGCTAATATTAGTCTATTTTACCTTCAGAAAACTAATAATATAGAACGAACTTTCATATAAATATATACAATTCCCGTTTCTAAATTATATAAAATATCATTTCGTTATTGCATATACAGTTATTCGTGTTATATGTCATTGATTTCTGTTATTACAGATGACAGATCTAATCAATCTAGCCATAGAAAGACTATTAGAAAAGCTGAAAGACAAGGTAAACAAAGGAGAGGATGTAGAATTGAAAGAGTGAGTACTATATTTGTTCCTTTGATAATTAAATTGAAAAGTAAGTGTTAATTTCTGTCGCTATTGTGAACCAAGACGAAATGCATATATGTCATTTTAGTATCTCCCTTGCCAATGCAGATTTAAATGTTGGCTAGGTTATGGGTCAAAACTAACAAAAACAATCACCAGCTGTCGAAATTAAATTAATATCAGAATTAGCTACGAAAACAATTTAAACGAATTTTGGTTTACACAAATAGATAAATAGATTTTTTCTCACTAATATGATTATACAATCCACTCACTGATTGTCAGCTCTTTGAAAATAATAGTGAAGTTGCTTGCAATTACAATTTGATGAAGGCTTTGGTTCTCTGTATTCATTAGGTTTGTATTGAAAATGTCTGATCACTGGTGATTGCATTGCCTCTGCAGGAAGACTACCATTCGCGTACACAGTGTTTGATTTGAAGTATTACAAAATGCCATGTCCATGCTATGCTCACTTTTCACAAATATGTTTGTCCTAACTCAACTTGTCATTGATTATGACAATGGTGTCTTCTGCTGAGTCCAAGAATTGTTGGATGTGGTTGTCGTTGTAACACTGATACCTAGGAACCACGAAGTTTTCTTTTTACATATTTCTTAATCACAGGTACATCTTCTAACTGACCATGGAAGTGGGTATCTATGAAAAGGTATTAGGGTAAAGCCCGAGATGTAGATAATTTATATTTGTCTTATTATTTATTTGCCCATCAGGCTCATTTTAACGACTGTTTGCTATGTGAATAATATATATTCTGTTGACTCGCTTCCATGCCTTACCTGATATCTAGCCCCTATATTTCATTTGGTTTCCATGGAAACGTATCAAATAGTATATACTATGCATTATCTAAGCAACTACCATCACCACTGACAATAAAAATACTTCGTACAATGACTTGATAATATTTATTCTCATGTCAACTGTATCGCCAGGGTGAGGTAGAGTTTATTAGTATCGTTCACAATTAATGTGTAAAATAAAAATAAAATGCTCTCCTTAGCACGATAGCCATGGGATGTAACAACTTTTTGTTTTAGATGGTTCGAGGCCTACACACTAGAGTCACTTTCCAGCACTGCATTTGGAATGCAGATCGACAGTCAAAAGAACCCAGATAATCCCTTTCTCGTCACCATCAAGAAGTTCATCAAGCCATCTATTAAAAACTTCCTGATCTTAATTACTGGCATGTATCTTAATTGCAATATGATTATGATAGTACTGTGCAGGAATGTAACTCCGCACTGTGCCGTACACGATTACCCGTATTGGATTTTCGACGTTTCGTTAACTTCAATATTCACTATTTTTAGTAGTGTACATTAATGAATTTCTCTTGAAAAGGACAGTTTATAATGTATACAATTCATGCAAGGAACAAACAAAAAAAGAATTTAAATATTTGTATCAACACATTGTAAGTAAACAAACAGGTGTGTTATATATCCTTCTATAAAATACGATGCACGACCAGACCATTTAATAAGGCCTTGGCGATCTGTTCAATAATACGACAGAAAATATATTGCATGCGATCTTTTCATCTTTGGTAACAATCAGTCATCTTTCCAACTAAACCTGGTGCAGGGGTTACGTAATCTGAAATAATATTTACAATCACGAAGAAAAAATGTGACATATATGATACCAATTACCGTCGATTTTTTTACAGTTTTCTATCCGTTTACGGCCTCGCTAGTGAGGAGGATTTCAGCCAGAAACGATTGGTGTAAAGTGTTCACCGATGCTGTCCTGCAGACTATTAAACATCGCGAGGAAAATCCAGGGGTAAGACACTTAACATTTAGTTTCAAAGGGAACATCCAGTGGTAGACATTTAGTTTCAAAAGGAACATCCACATTAAGGTATTTAATTTATTTTAAAAGTTACATTTAGGGGACAGACATTGACATTTCAAATCCAGATATCGAAGTAAGATATTTTGCATTACATGTAAAAGTCCATGGTAAAAATATATCATTCTAAAAAAACAGACGGTTGAGACCTAAAACATTACAGGGGAAACCACAAAAATGTAAAACCGTAGCACTGGAGAGAAAACCTATTGACAATGCCTTTATAATTGTAGCGAAAATATATGGGTTAGATATTATGTTTGCAAGGGACACCAATGAGTAATCCCTTTGGCATTGCAGGGAAATTCCCTAGTGACATCAAGCTTTTCTAACAAAAGTAAGAAGTAATCAAGTAACAATAACCAGGATGACTTATGGATAAGGAATTCAGTTTTTCCAGTGGGAATATACATGAAAATACAGGATAAGACATGAACCATTGCAAACTATTTTAATTAAGCGATAAGTTAGAATGTCCACAACCAAATATGAATACGTTACTTTTTCCATGTACTAATAAATGTTTTAGAAGCTTGATGCTTTCATTAGAATAAGAAGTATATTGGAAAACAGCTTGGTTAAAAATGCAAAAATATCGTGATGTATCATTTTTATATATATTTTTGATATGTTGAAATATGTTAATTATTAAACGGTGGGTTTACTCAAAATAAGGGCACCATCCTCTGGTTGATCAGTTAGAACACAAAGAAAGACCACCTGTGTTTATATGGACCTCACGTATATATATATGTACATGTACGTGTTTCATGTTCTTGCTATTTGTATTACTATGGTAGAGCCTTTCACTATCGTACACATACAGTAATGTTGTTAACGTAATTGATGTCGCAGTAACATTATACGCTATAGTGGCGTACACTGCAAACTGATTTATGTGTTCTTTGGCAGGACTACACTGATTTGCTGCAACAGATGATTGACAGCCAAAAAGCTGGAAAGGCAGGGTCGGATGATGAAGACAACAATGAGGACAATGAAGCAACGAGGACGACCTGGACTAGAAAGGGTTAGTACAATGTGAATGTCATTGAGTCACATTTTCTTTCAATTGTGCAGATCAGCGTGTAGTTATAACAGACACCGCAATATTTATACAATGTATGTACATGTAACAAGCGAGACAAAATTAACTTAAATAATCGCAAGTATTTTAATGAGAAACACCTAGGTCTATACTTTCAAATTTAGTTTGCCGATGCAGAAAGCCGAATAAAGTAACCAATTTACTGCATCATGTGGTTATATAGTCGATGTAGGACTCACCAGTGGTACTAAAGCTCAAAAGATTGAAAAAACTATTTCTAAAGTAGTCTGAGTCATACATAGGTAGAACTACGGGACAGAGGAGGGAAAGGTGCGCATTAAACCCTTTATAAAGTTAACAACTTTTGGGTACAACATGAACTTATACTTCTTCGTTGAAATACAGTGCTGTTAGGATGGAGTACAATTGAATTTAAATACCACGTATAGGAGAAAACTGAACACGTGCAGTACACAATGTCACCAAAAGTCATGTTACTGTTATGATAACAGGCATTTACTGCCTATCCATTGTTTCAGGCCTTACAGAACACGAAATCTGTTCGCAGTCTTTGCTGATTTTCTTTGCTGGTTATTTTACCACGACCAACCTTCTCACCTGCTTGCTGCACCAGATGGCCATCGACCCAGAAACGTGTAACAAGGCTCAGCAGGAGATAGATGACCAGTTAGATGGGGTATGTTGGATGAAGTTTGTCATATATGATACCTTCTTTAATCACGGACTGCTATCCGTCCTCCTATCTATTAAGTACTTGTTATACATTTGTCACGGTCAGGCGATTTGTTTTAAGTAGTCTTGGTAATAAAAACTACAATAATAGATAATAGGTTTACATGTCATTAGACATTCAACTTAATTGTGAAGAGCAACTGTGTTGACACGTAAAAATTCCATAGGTCTATGTCAAGTCTTGTGAATTGGGGTCAATGCACACTTTAAGTAGTTATTTACACTTGATGTGGATATTTTCTCCTTTTGAAGTTGTTTATGTTTTTGCTTTTGTTTTGTGTTGTGTGTTTTCTCTTGAAGAATATCATTAATTGTTTCAGATACGGCCTAACTACGAAAACGTCCGTAAGCTTTCCTACCTGGAGATGTGCATTAGTGAGATTCTTCGTTTGCATCCAATAACAAGGTTATTATTTTTCATATCTATCAAAGCTCGGGTAGTATATTAAACTGAATGATGTGATTTGCGATTAATTTGAGTCCTTTAAGTGGTTAAGACATTATGACGTCATGTCATTACGCTTTACAATATCTAATAATGAGCTAGATAATGGATTTATATATAGATCTCATGAGTAATATTGGTTGCATGTCCAATATAGGAACTGGATCCACACGAATAAATGTCTGCTTGATGCGTTGGATAAGTTGACAAAATTGAAACAATAGTTTTGGCATCTAAAATGTGCTTATTCGTTATGAATAGCCTTTAGCTACTGGCCGACTGAATGGATGGGCTTTAACATCAGCGTTAGAGTTCAGATGTAACTTTATAATCATTGTTTATATTATGTATTAGTTTACTATTTGTACTTGGCAGTTTACCTCGAACATTTGACAAATGTCATTGTCCACGCTGTCATTGTCCACGCTGTCATTGTCCTCGCTGTCATTATAGCCTCTCGATTTCTGTCGTCCGTCCGTAACTCCTTTTTTGAGAGACTTCTTCCTAAAACAATTTAGCGTCAGGTCATGGTAGTTTGTTCGTAGCATCCTGGGATAAAGAACGACAAACTTTCTGATAGCAAAATTACCTTTACCTATTTTCAAGGTTATAAGGGTCATCATTAAACAAAAATTCTATGGAATTATATTTCTAGCCTGTCCTCGCTTTGACCAAATCAATTACATTCAAACTCTTCAAATCCAGCCTTTTCTCTTGTTTTAAATTCAAAGTACAAACTTCAAAATAAACCAAACTGTATTCCAACCTGTGGTATTCAAATTTCGTCCCTTCTGGAAAATGCCCAAATTAATATCGACACAATCCAATAATTTGCAACTATTGATATTCCTCCGTGGCTTCTGGTTTCGCCGGAGGTTGATTTTTCACTTCATGAGACAGCTAAATCTAATACCGAATCTTTCGTTCACCTTTCACGAAACTGCAGTTAAAATATAAGGACTTTCAAACATTTTATTCTGAGGATTCGAAAGATGATTATCAGGTTGCCGCGGCCACGGTAGCGAAAAATGCTACTTCTAGATGCATGCTACCAAGTGATGCGTCAATATTCTCCGCAAAAGCCCATGTAATCTATCTCACCCTTTTTGCTAAGAACATTAGCACGCGCTTTAGTAAATTAGAAAAAATACCAATAGCTTAAGCACACCTAGACAAAATTTGAATTTAAAAGTCGATAAATAGAGAACGGGGACTAACGATACACAGAAGATGAAATGACATATAAACAAAAGGACCGTGTCGCTCAGTTATTGTTTAATCCTTTTCACAAACACATCTCACATATTTGACATTGAAAGAGGTTAAAAGCCAAACATATTTGATCACATTTGATATTGAAACAATGATCAGTAAATTGTAGAGTAATGATCAGTAAATTGTAGAGTAATGATGATTATTATGTGCAATCGGATTGTTAAAATATATTTGACTTTCTGATCATTAAATGGAGTAACAAAGTAATAAACATATTGATGGTCATTACTGTTTCTATGAAGATGTATATTTAGTAGCAGTTAGGGCTGACGTTGTTTAAGGTAGTACCTACCTTGTAGTAGTAATTTACTTCTAATGTCATAGAACTGACCGGTCAGCTTCAAAGGACGTTACGATTGGAAACATCTTCATAAAAAAGGGAACCACAGTAGCCATTCCCATAGGAGCAATCCACTATGACGAGAACCTCTGGCCGGATCCGGAAAAGTTCATACCAGAGCGGTTAGTAACAATAGCACGTCTCAAATAGCTCATAACATGAGTTTTCAAACAGAATAAAAAAGACAAATTGACTGAATGGTCATTTGTGGTCAGTGCGTACCATTTCTTCAGCAGTATTATAGTACTTCTGACTCCTCTTATCACATGCCTCACTATCAAGACTGTACATAAGGGAACACCCATTACAACACTTGACTTCTCCACATTGCATATCACCATTCTGCATCCTAAACTTATTTCACGTGTCATGAAGTCCTTTCTCTCTAAAACTAGAGATTCTTGTTGTAAATTTACCAGATATATTTAATCAAGCATAGCACAGCTTACCAGAAAAATACCCACGTGATGATGTCTGCAATATCAGTCACGTGATGATGTCTGCAATATCAGTGGTGTTGTTAACACGATGTCTGTGCATTCACTGAAATTAAATCACTGATAAAGGGTCTAGTTAAAACAGATGTCATACTATACAATATTTGAAGTTCACCCTAAGGAATTTCGATATTAAATGTGCTTTTCACATTTTTGGTGAATTAATAAAATCGAAATCACTGATACATGGTCTAACAAAAAGAAAATGATATACTATACACTATTTGAAGTTCATTTTAAAATGTTTTTATAGTTTTTGTGCTTTAATAATGACATTTTCGACAACTACTCGCATCTTCTGTATCCTTCTGTAACTGACCTATTTCACCCCATAGACTCCCTTCTTCTGCTGGATGTCTTGACTTACATTACTTTATGGTAAAGAAACTCGTTTTACTCCATGTGAGACATCCATGCTTCATCCGTCGAACGGGGTGCATCGTGAAGGACAACATATGTGCAACATCCAGCGCATATTCTCCGTTATGTCGGGGTTCATGACATCTTATTTCATCAGTTGCTGTTGTTGTCTATTTGTATCCATCTTGCGCCTATGAAAGCTTACGGTTTGGTATTTTTCTATTTTGTTTTGCTAATACCGAAAACATAAGATACATACAAAAGTATTACTTGAAGGAAAAAATTGAATATACATTTGTACATAAAGATATCAATATTTTATCAACACGAACTCATCTATTCTGTCAGCGTAAGTCGGATTGAAATTGATGTTGAAAAATAGGGATAGTTTATTGCTGACAGATATTCAAAAATAATTTCATTATATGAAAAAAAAAAATCACACATTATGTGCATTACAGTTTCACCCCCGAGGCGAAGGCAGCGAGGGACCCATTCGCCTATCTTCCGTTTGGACATGGCCCACGAAACTGTATTGGAAACAGGCTGGCTCTGATGCAGGCTAAGATGACAGTGGCTAGTATTCTGCAGAAGTATACACCTGTCAAGTCTGAGAAAACCAAGGTAATTTTACCGTATAGATTTTATATATTCCATTGTATTGAATAACTTACTACGAAAAAATCATAATATTCGTGTGGTTGTATAGAAGATCATACAAACGCTATTTCATGAAAACATTTTTATGGTAAATCTGCATAAAACAAGGTCTGGTGGATTTTCCTCCCGAGAACGAAACCTTTCCAGTGCTTAAGGCATTATGTTATCGCGTAATAACCATGTATTATCAAATTTTAACATTACAAAATTAATATATGTCAATATCCTCTGTTTAGATACCCATCAACATAAATACCCGGCAATGGAGTCCACTGGACAATTGGATTCGATTTGAATCCAGAAGCTAGTCAAAAAATGACGGGATCAATCGTTGATACTGCAAACCTATAAGCTGTATCGAATTTATTATTCAATGTACATATGTATACGTACTTCGTCAGTGATAAGCCCAAAATGACTTTGTACAATGCGTCTTACTAATATTTGATGTTTATTCTTTTCCAATGTGAGACAATCTCACATAGTGTGATTGATATAATAAGTATAAGGGTCTCCAATATGAGATATTTTTATACGAAATTCTTTTTTTAATTAGAAAATGTTACATTACCCCCGATTTGCAAAGTTTTTATTTGTTGCTTGTTAAAATTATTTTATACTCCTTTCCTTCTTATTAAAATGTATTAAAAATGAAGACTTTGTGCCTGTCACCAAGGTATATTGCGGTGTGTCGCGTTTTTACATGTTGTACTGCATCATTGTTTAATTCAGTTGTACGTGAAATAATAAAGCTTTTTATATGCTATATATAGATATGTTTCTTTTACATTTTCCTATGAATTAGCTTGTGTATCACAGATTCAATATTACAAACTGAGTTGTATAATAATTACATATGGTGAAATATTTTGTGAAGTGTTTGAAATATATTTAGACATTATTCAAATTTAACCTTTCTATAGCAATTGTTAATATTAATTAATAGAGTATTATATTGTTCGAGTGTGTATGCGTGCGTGTGTACGTGTATGTGTGTGTATGTGATGTATTAAATTGATCCGCTGCAATGGGACATTTGTGATATAAAGTTAAAGTTAAGTTAAAACAATTGTTTAATATAAAGTTAAAGTTCTGTGTTATTCAAATTTGCCCTATAATGATAATAAAGTTCCTCCTTCTGCCAAAGTTTATCTATTATGGGTTTTTTTTATTCGCCTTTTTCATAATCACATTTCCATACAAGTATTGATATTTGGAGAGGATACAACGTCCTCCGGAAGGTTGTTCTATGTTTTTACTGTACGAAGTGTGAAACAGTTTCTCCTCGGGGATGTTGTTGACTGATCTGGGATATACAGATATGGGTCTCTCGATGCAGAAATACTTGAACATAACGTTTTTAGTATTGACTTTTATGTTTATTGACGCGGCAATAGGTAGTGTGTATACAGGTCCTGCTATAAATGTATCTGAATCCTTTCTCTTATATTTTGTACTATATAGTTTTACGTAGATTGACATTTCCTATACTCGACGACCAGACGTCATATAAATCATATTCAGACCTATACATACCTCTTTAACGAGTGCCTATCCATCTGATAGGTACACCGGTGTCCAAACTTGTTCACATGATTTTGAATTTTGAATAACAAATAACTAATAAGAAGCTCTGTGTATTTAATTGTGCGAGACATGATAAAATAAGAAAAGGAAAGAAATAATCACCAACATAGCCTACAGTATAACGCGTCATCCGGTAGACCACAGGAGGTCACATACATTTGACATGGGAAAAACGTATTTATTCTGAAACAGTTTTGGTATATAAAAAGGTAAAGTATTTGATTTCAAACTTCCCATAGCATGGTTCTTATTCACAGAAATGATATCAAAGATTGAAAATATGCTCTTCGGGAAAACTTTGATCCTCCGAGAAATAGTTACATCCTAAACACACCCTTGACTAATTCATGTATAAGGATACAGTGTCGTAGCTTATAAGTATATTTGTTCAGTACTTCGTAACATTAACGTGAAGTCACTGCAGGTAGGGCGTTAGAATTGTACCTGCTGCCTCCATTGCATGATCGTAAGAGGCGACTAGATTTGGGATCTTATCTTTTCTCTTTTTTTTTTAAACAACTTTCTTCTTCCGAATGACTTCCTTGACAATGTCTCACTTTTGGTCTTTAGCTGAGCGTTCGTCCCTGTGAGGAAGGCTTTGGGTTCTGTCCCCTTGCAGAGACATACCAGAGTCTGTGAAAATGGTAGTTTCTTCTCCTGCTTAACACTCAGCCATTTAGGAGGGGACGACTGGTTCGCCCGTTGTCTCAGTGAGGTAGCACTATAAAGTCGGCATCAGATCCGCACTATTACAAGGAGACACACACGAACATATCCCAGCCTCCCAAAACACACACGCATACACTACACGCATGCATCTTGCACACATGGGAGGCCGTCCTTAAATGACCATAGCTGTTGATAGGACGTTAAACAATACCAAACCAAATCCTTAACGTGATGTTTTCAGTGTCCAAGGCTCATCGGTATCGGGTGACCCTTCGACAGTAAAGTTTGTCAATGCTTGTGTTCTTTTCATTATGTTTAACTTGATGTGATAATGCAAAATTATATCAAGCAATACCAAATATAAATAATTAGATTTAACAATAACGCTCTAAATACAGCAAGTTTACCATAAGACTTCAAAATTCACTCTTGTCCCCGCATCAATGATCGTGGCCGTGATCGGCTGCCGTAGACTGATTTAGGTCCACAACTGGTGTTTTGGGAAAGGCCAGCGATAAATGTCCTTAGAGTTTCCATTGAAATTGATTTCGACGTCTTTTTGAATCTGTTAAGCGCAAACATCCAATTGAACCTTCTATCATAAACAACCACGCGAACTCCTTGCGAAATCATCTTGAAACTCCAAAAGAACATCCACTTGAACTCCTGATAGCAATCCGCGTAAACAATTCGGCCACGACTGTGTCCCGAATAGCAGGTCTGATGCCATAACAGCATCTTTATTATCATATATAATTATAATAAAACAATACATAAGCATGACGTCACTATAGTCAGTTGGTAGACAGAATGTTCCAGAACAAGGCACATAAACAGATAATCGTGTATGGAAAACATTTTCAAAATAATATTGTGCCTGCTCTCAGATATCTACGTTCTCTCGGACAACTAATCAAATCTAGTTGACCGAAGCCATAGCCTTTTCTTTAGTCAATATCAGAAATGCTCACCTGGACATTTAAGCAACCATGGCAAAATATTTTCATTAAATATAAAACTTAGTTTGATAGGTAGGCCTATCTGTTCCAAGAAGAAGCCTTTAAAATACTTAACCACTCGAATTGTCCCGTTTTGTTCCCAGCCGATAGCTAGGGGAGCTTCATTCTTCCTTTATACAGTCAAGACAGCATTCCCATTCTTATTCCACCCCTAGTCTCTCCAACAATTCTTGGGACATGTTCGGACATTGAATTTGGAAACGTCCACAGATTCGGAAAGAGGAAGAAAGGAAGGCCCCGTCCTATTGTAGCGCGGTTGTTACAGGGAACTCGGTACAGCATAAATGAACAGTTTCCTGTGGCGGTTAAAGATATCAGGAAAAAGCTGTATCCAGTAGCGAAACGTCTGTGGAGAGAGCGGCACAAAGTAAAATCTGTGAGGGATAGAATGTATGTAGATGGCGTTCTCTATACTGGACCTGAGGTCGACACCTCGGTTAATAAAGGTAACAAACCGGTTCATGATACTCTAACGACTCATCGTGGCGGTAGGCCTGCAAAACGCTCGCGTTAACTTTCAACGCCAGTATCCGCATCCGGTGAATCTGCTGAAATCACGACATCTAATAGATATCAGCCTTTAGCATCCCCTAGTGATAGTTTGATGGGAGCGTGGGGGCAACATGCGCCTCCTGATACCGAAGACAGAGGAGCTGGACCTGGAACTGCTCAAAGACTTTTTGAACATAATGACGTCATTCCGCCTCAGCTTCCCCTTATTACAGCATCACAGGTGTCAGACTCTCAGCAGGAAACCCATGTGAAAACGGTCGTATAGGGGTCCCCGGAAGATAATAACTACTTAACAGTATGTAGCTGGAATGTCCAGCGTAGTTTAAGGTGTAAACTTAATAATACAGATTTTTGTAAAATGTTTAATGAAACTGATATAGTGTGCTTAGCCGAATGTTGGTTGGAAGATGAAGCTGACCTCATTGTGAATGGTTTCGAATATTTTCCACCAGTTATTAAATTCAAGTGTAAGGGTGGGGGTATTGTACGCTTACTTAAAATATGTCTACGTCAGTTTATATCTATGGAAACTGTTGAATTTGATAGTATTATGTGGATCAGAATTGACGGTAAACTTTTTCCAGATAACAGAACTGTTTATATGGCTTTAACATATATACCCAATGAGAGATCAGTGTTTTACGGTGCTTACGATGAGGCCATATTTCAGGTGTTGGAGAACGGTATAGGTCGTTATAGTAAAGGTCATGTATTTGTAATTGGTGATCTGAATAGTCGGACAGGGGTGGAACCGGATTTTATAACTTTTGATGCTTTACATGATCGCTTACATCGTCAAATTGACGGTTTTATTTCTTATCATGAGGAACTGCCTATTTCCGAGTGAAAATCTGAGGATGATCAACTGAATACTTTTGGACGTAATCTCATACAATTATGTAAATCGACTGGTTTAAAAATTGTCAATGGTCGTACTACAGGAGACAATGAGGGTCAAATGACATTTTGTAATACAAACGGTACTGGTGTGATCGATTATGTGCTTACCGATAAGTTGTCGATGTGTAATGTCAAACATTTTGAAGTAAGTTGTTTTAATGAGATTTCTGATCATGCTCCAATATTTGTTTCGTTAAACTGTCACAAGACAGAAAACAGAGGTTGTAAATGTTGTTCTGACGAGAATATGTATTCTACTGTGTCGAACGTATAGTGTGGTCTGATGAAGCAAATGACAACAGATATATTTTTGACAATAGAATTTTGATTGAGAGCTCTATCGATCAGCTAATTAACACAAAAGAAAGTATTGATGAGTGTTTGGAAAATTATGTAAAATGTACTCGTACTTTGTTTGACAAGTTTTGCTTACGTAAGCGAAAAGTATTGAATTGTTCATGTACCTGTCGTAATGTAAATGTCACTAAGAAAGAACCAGATAAACCATGGTTCGATATTAACTGTAACAGATTATATACCAATTATAAAATTGCTTTATCCATTTTTAATAGAGACCGATCATTGGTTAACAGGGCAAGTCTCTCTGAGGCTAAAAAACGCTATAAAGTTTGTGAGGCGAAGTTAAAGCGCGCCTATTTACGAACGGAAGGAAATAGGATGGACGTGTTAAAACGTAATAATCCAAAAGAATTTTATCGATTTTTTTCTAAACGGAAGGTATGTGGCACTGGTGATTTATCATCAATTGATTTTTTTCAATATTTTAAAGATCTCGCTGGGGAATCATACTCTTCGGATCATGATAATAGCTTGAATGATAAAAATACCGATTGTGTGTTTCCTGAACTAGATCTGGATTTGAGGCTTGATGAAATACTTGTTGTAATTAAGAGTCTGTCTAAAGATAAATCAGCAGGTAAAGATATGATACTTAATGAATATTTGATTGAATATAAAGATATTTTTGCACGTGTTCTGCTGAAGTTGTTTAATAATATGTTGAAAGTAGGATATTTCCCTCAAGCTTGGTTACAGGGTTTAATTGTTCCTTTATATAAAAAGGGAGCTAAAAACGATGTTAATAATTAAAGGGGAATTACCCTTATTAGTCATGTAGCTAAATTATTTATTAGTCTATCAAATAAAAGATTGCTAAAATGAGCGAATCTGAGTGTGTGATTGCAAATGCTCAATTTGGGTTTAAGCCTGGTCTTGGTACACGTGATGCAATATTTGCATTACATAGTTTAATTACAAATACTTTACAACAAAATAAAAGGATTTATTGTGTATTTGTTGATTATAGTAAAGCTTTTGATTGTGTTACCCATGCCAACTTTGGCTTAAAATATGGAGAAGTGGAATCAGGGGTAGATTGCTGAATATAATTAAGCCAATTTATGAAAATGTAAAATCTTGTACAAAATTAAGCGGGAAATGTTCTGCTATGTTCGATATACATGAAGGACTTTTACAAGGGGAGGCTTTATCGCCCATGCTGTTTTCTTTATTTGTTAATGATATGGAAAGCGTTCTTATTAATTCTAATTGCCAGAGTTATCAATTACAACTATTAAATCTATTTCTTATAATGTATGCTGATGACGCAGTTTTATTTTCGGAAGATATTAACGATCCTCAAAATATGTTAGATTGTTTGCAAGATTATACTGAAAAATGGAGCTTAACGGTTAACAGTGAAAAAAACAAAATAGTTATTTTTAGAAAAAGCAAACGGATATTACCTAATGAAAGTTGGAAATTTAATGAAAGGACCATAGAGGTCGTAGATCAGTTTTGTTATTTAGGATTAGTCTTTAATTATAACGGAAGGTTTACAGTGGCTCAGAATACTTTAGCATATCAAGGAAGGAAAGCTTATTATCTGTTGAAGAATCGAATAAAGGATTATATGCTAAATACTGAAACTAAGATATCACTATTTGACACTTATGTAACATGTATACTTAGTTATGGTTGTGAGGTGTGGGGTCATTATCCAGCACCAAAAATTGAAAATGTTCACCTTCTTTTTCTGAAAGAAGTATTGAATGTAAAGAAAACCGTTAATAGTTCTATGTTGTATTTTGAAACGGCCAGATATTCATTACATGTACAGCGTAAAATTACAATCATGAAATATTGGTTAAAATTGATAAAAACTAACAATTGTGTTTTAAAATCATGTTATGATGCTTTATTTAAGTTACATATCAAAAAGCCAAATTTTAAATTAAACGGGATTTATCAAGTTGAAAATGATTTATGTAGAATTGGTTTTAACCATATTTGGATTGCTCAAAATGTACAAAATGAAAGTCAGTTTTTGGAATTGTATTCTCAACGCTTGCATGATATATTCATTCAAGAATTAAGTAGTGCATTTGATAAATCTTCAGAATGTGACTTATATAAACATCTTGTTGATAATTTTCAAATTCAATTTTACTTAACAAAGACCTTAACTTCTAGTATCAAACAATCATTGAGTAAATATCCCATGCAAGCACACTGTCTTAATATTGAGTCAGGACGTTACAATGCCTTCCCAAGAGGCCAAAGAATATGTACTGTCTGTAACAAAAATGATGTAGAAGATGAGATGCATTTTATACTACTTTGTCCAGCTTTAAAACAATATTATTATCGACATGCTAGTGTCTATAAATTGATTGAATTATTTTCATGTAAAAATGTAAAAACTTTAAGTAAACTTGGTAAATATTTATTGCATGCAACTGCCAAAAGAAAAGCCCTTGTGGGTTAGTAAAAATGTATATGTTAAATGTGAATCATGAATTATCCTCTGCCATCTTGTATATTGTACTTTATTATGAACCATGTGTGATGTAACTGTATAACCTATATGTTGTATTGAAAAACTTGAAACTTGTAAATTCGGCCCACGTTGGAAATTATGATTGTGACGTCATAAAAGATGCAACGACCGGTGAACCTGGGGAGTGCCCCGGTATCATGGCCAGGGCCGAACCTGACCCAAATTAATATTTCTAAAAATTCGTATATTTTAAAGCAATACGAAAGAGCTATGGCGGAAAACTGTCCATATTTCCCTAAGTCGGCATTTATGAAAACGGAAAAACATATTAATGAGTAAATGAGTAAAGAATTTCTAGCAGCACAAATGCATAGAATGGATAAAAAACAATTGAACATGAATTGTTGAACTGCTGAGATATTAGGTATTGTAGATATAATACTGCAAATATAGCCATATTCATTATATCTATGAAAGTGATTGGGTTTACCAGACTTAAAAAAATACTTTCAACACTTTCCCATCCGAGGACCAACTTTTGAATAAGCATTTTCATTAAAAAGTATTCCGGAAAAGTGGTCCTCCTTTGGGAAAGTGCTCAAAATAATCAAAAACAGGGGTGAGCGAGTTTCTTAAACTGCAACAGGTGTTACTTGGGTTAAAACAGTTGTATTCCCATCTTCGTAGACCTATGTCCGATTAACGCAGTTAACTTGTGACCAGACAAAGTGAACGAATCCATGTTCAGGTTCCTTTTTTTATTTTAAATAATTAAGTAATAAAATATTTTTCAAATCAATGGTACATTTTATTTATTTAAGGATTAACTTGAATAAATTTGTCATGTTATGGAGATATCGAGATATGAAGCGGATTATGATGAGAGTACACTCCGGTTTTTTGTGTTATTGTTCCATAACGTGAAAAAGATATTCAAGTTAATCCTTATAATTCAATCTACTTTACACAATCCCTGTGGAAATCCACTTTTATTGATGGACTCTTTTCTCTCAGAAATTATTGCGCTGCTGTATCAGCCAATCAAAAGCGACGTTACAAGCGGTGACGTCATTTTTTACGTAATGGGCTGATAACATAATTTTTTAAGCCAATGGAAATGCTTGTTACAAGCAAGATTAAATTACATTTTAAGTAAGGATCGCAATACAGGTGAACGTCATGCTATTAATCATTTTGCCATTCATAGGTGCGGGGAAAACAAAATCAAGATGTGTGTTTCGATCAAAGCAGGTAACGGCATGACGCAGGCAGTAGTGATAAAAATTAAATCCTTTCAAAACTTGTTGGTACAGCATATTATTTGTTTTAAGTCTTTATTTTGTTGAGTCTTTATCGAGAAACGCATGTATCAATAGCCATGGTCTTGAATTCGGCTGTTTACATTAATCTATTCTTAGACACAGGATTCCCATGGGCGGATCCAGCATTTTATAAAAGGGGGGTCCAACTTCATGCCAAAGGTCATGTGAGGGCCGAAGGCCGACGAACGAGGGCCGTAGGCTGGAGCCAGGGGGAGAGCACGAGAGGGGGGCTGGAAGCCCCCTTCCCTTTAAGGGGGGGGGCCCCCCCCCCCCCCCCCCCCGGAAAAAAATCCTAGATGACCGAAGATGGCTTTTAAGCACTTTTGAGAACAAAATGAGGATACTTGTTCATTACATACAAACATCAATATCTTGCAAATTATTTTCCATTCAACTTCAAAATTGGGTCATTATTTGGCAATACACCCAATGTCACCCATTAGACTTTTGGATATTAAAGGAATTTAAAAGGTTATACAATACTCAAGTAAATACCACAGGTCAGCAATAAAATTATTATCAAAGAAAAAAGATACAAGTGTGGACGTAATTTATCTTCAAAAACCAGTTACATGTAAACGTACATGTGTATAAGCCGTTTCATGCGAGGATGAATGTCAATATATATGTATTGGAGAGGAAAGTACAGTGTCAGATCAAGTTACTACTAACATCGCAATATGACTTCACCACAACAATTTACTTGTCTCCAATTGTTATGTACCAGTCACTGGTAGAGTATGCAGCCAGCAAACATGTTCCTGCTGTGTCTCTGAATGAAGGCCTGGCACACTTTGTCCAAGTCAATGTCGATGTCATGGTTCATGTTCATGAGTGCCAGTCCTGTCAGTCTATTTTCTCCCATCCTGTTCCTCAAGTAAGTCTTTAGCCGTCGCAGACAGGAAAATGATCTCTCTGCTTCGCAACTGCCCACAGGTAGGATACACCCAATTCTTAGCAGCGTGTTGAGATTGGGGAACACATCTTCGTCAGCATTATCCAGGCAATCCACAAGGTTGAGCGATAAGGCAGACTCCATTGGCATTTTGGTATTCCAAAACCGCTGCCATTCCTTTATCTCCGCTCTGAGAGTTGGTGGATTTGGCAAGTCTTCTTCCAAGAATTTGAGGTTTTCAACATCCTTCTGGACATAATCCGTCTTTGTGATGTTCGGTGGTAGAAGAGCGAGGATCTCTACACCCTTTCTGGTTTCCGGGGTGAATCGGTTTTCGAATTCCGAAGATAGGTGGTCGCAGAATGGAATTGCCACGTTGCGCGAAAATACTCACTTGGAGTCGTGCTAGGGGCGTTGAGTCGATGGAGTTGTCGTGCTGATTTTGGTGCTCTTGGAGCGGAGATAGGAATGCCGACAAGTGTTGCCAATCGGGTGGCATCCTCAAACCAGACACTGAATTCTTCTTCAATGTCTTTTCTCAAAGTCACAATCCGAGCTTTGGTCTGGTCAATCATACCGTACGCCTGGTATATGTCCAAATCCCTCTTCTGAAGCTTAGATGCAATTGGTCTTACATTCTCTAGTGCATTCTTTGTCACGAGAAAGGCGATTATTGTCTGTGAAGAGCACATACTGGCCAATAACCCCTGCGCCTTCGTCCTTGTTTCTTGATCCCAGCTGCCGGTCCAGGTGTCCATGTAAATGTCTGGATATCCATATGGGTCCAGTATTGCTTCTAGACATTCACATAAGTATCCGTACATGTCGTAGAATGTGTCGAAGCATGTATGTCTCTCCACCCACCGGGTCTTGCACAGCCCAACAAGCTTGTTCTTGCGGGTGGTTGGCGCCATGTTGTCAAGAATTCTCTCGAGGAACCTCTGTCGTTTCGGAGACAAATCAAAGAACAGAAACACGGCGTTCAGAGTGTCTATCATATTCCAGATGGCGCACTAGCAATGCTGAGATTGAGGACGTGGCTGTTACAGTGAACATATAACGCGCGCGGGGACAGTTGTCGGATCCGTGCCTGGACACCCATCTTCGCCGAGGACATGCAAGCTGCGCCATCGTAACTCTGGCCCCTAGCCTGGGATATGTCAATGTGTTTTTTACTGAGACACTCGGTGATAGCATGTGCTATTGATTCCCCAGTCGCCCTCTCTAGATAAAAGAAATCGAAAAATAGTTCGCGGACCCTTGTAGGTCTACCGGTCAGCAACCTCAAACGCACGGACAAAATTTCCTGGTTACTATAGGGGTCAGATACCTCGTCGGCCATGATAGAATAGAATGCATTATCATTTTCAAGGTCTCTGGTATTCTCCTTCCGTATGTATTCACCAACTACTTCAATCACTTCGTTTTGGACCACCTTGGATGTGTATTGTGCGTTTTTCTTTCCTGTCGCCAGGTGTTGTTGGAGGACATCGTCGTGCTTTGCCTGCATTTCTAAAATAGCCAGAAAGTTCCCTTTATTTGATGATGTGCTGGCCATGGTGCGGTCATCTCTGTGGCCTCTTAAAGGCAAATTTTGCTTCCCGCACAGAACAATCGCTTCAGTTATACTCTTTAGTATGTGTATATTCTGTTCGTAAATGTGCTGCTTCGTCTGGCTTATCATATATGGCAGGGATGTCTTAGTAGAACTTACCAGATGGGGTATTTACCAAACATTGCGAGTCGGCGCGTCCGATATACCGTCATTTTACACAAATATATATAATCGTTAAACGATATATATATGTGAAGGACTTTGCACACACTTTTAATCACAGGTGTAGCTTGTCATAAAATATTCCGTCCCTCCATCAAGATCCCTACCCGACCCGCGGGCAATAAGGGGGAGGGGTCGGATTCTGAGATGCGATAAAAATAATCCTATACTTGTGCAAATGGAAACCATGCCTATTATAGGCACACACACCCTCGGACCCTTGAAAATGTTAGTGTGTGTGTGTGTGTGTGTCTGTTGAGAGGTTATAGTAGACAGTTCAAGTTAATTTGGTGAAGTTTTAGTGGGATGGGATGCGTACGGCAGCTCCCTCTCCCCAATTTTAGGCGTAAGTTTTTAAAGTAAAAAAAAAAAATCGGTGGTAAAAAAAATGGGTTGGGTCCGGAATAATGATGGGTTCCTGGTCTAGCGGATTTTACAGCTGGTCTTGATATTTGTAAAGTCAATCTTTTTACAGTAACAAGTTTAATTTGACATGACCTAAGTCTACGACATTTTGTCGTACATTGCGTAGGCCTATGACAATATGAATAATATCTGCAAGGCACACACGCATGGTCAATATTTTCAGCAGCATGACTTCGATTCTGTATCTATGACAACGATCACGTGCTCGTATTCACTGTCATGAAGGACGGAAGAAGATCGTGTGTCATTCTTGAATCGTGTGAAGTATGAAGGTTTCGTAAGTAAGAATAATATTTGTGGATATTTCTTGAAGGAACACATGTTATTTTGTACAAATCGAGTTCATAGTGCATAAAACTGGGATATGTTTATGGTTGGATGCTCCAAATATCGCACATCTACGTTTGACAGTCAGTATTTACCGGCGTTCATACTTGTAGCGTACCGTACTCTACTGTACTTTCCAGTAGCTAGCTAGCAGACGATTCATTGTGTATAAATACTATAATCGATATTTTTCAGTTCGCTTAGTGCGACATGTGAACAATACAATGTTGACAGTACCAGGCTGGTACTGCTTTATAGATCTATATTTTGTCCACATATCCATGAGAATATTGACCTGAAATACAGTATAGTCTGAAAACCTAAACCAAATTTTAAATGTCAATAATGATGCATGGCCATGATTCATGAAAAAGAACGTCACTGAATCCAGTAATGATTCTACACTGATTTAATACTAGGCATTTTCCTCTAGATCTGTGCATATTTCATTAGAATTGTTTATGAAGAAGATGTAGGCAGCTTGAAGATGTAGGCAGTAGACCAAGGGTCGTCGATCATTCAAATTTTACATTGGCCCAACCGGTCCCTTACCCCCCATTTTTTAATGCCAGCATATGGTTAATTAATTTGTTTTCTGATTTTTATTTTTTTGTCAAATGAGATGTGAGTTCGTAGATACGTTATTAATATGAAGTATTTAGAAACAATTTTTATCACAATATTAATAACATTTTCATGTAAGAAGAAAATTCACTGCATGCACACAGCCTTGACTGAGCATTAATACACAAAAAGAATAATTTATGAAATTATCACATACATGTCGATGTACTAAGACTTAACTCATATAATTCATAGAGACTTTTTAAAGTTAAAACTGCAAGCCACAAAGCTTTAATGTTTCACAAATGTTCATATCTGGTAATTTGCACTGTTCTGATACACCTGAGGGGTTAACCCTTTCAACAATGTAGACCATAATAGACTCATCCATATCAATTAATGGTAGAGGTTATTAAAATTACATAGGGGTGAAAGGATTAAGATTACTAACAGATAACCTGCAGGTTGATTTTTAAAAAGATCTAGCATTGTGTGACCAATTTCTAACCTCTTAGGACAAAATTGCCAAATAAACAAATTAGTACAAAATTAAACAACATGATACATGTTATGTATCAAAAATATTCAGTCTTTAATTTAACATCGGCAGTCAGTTTGCAACTTCTTCCTTTAATTACCGCTTTTGCTATAACTCGACTGTAGAAGTACTGGACAGATAATCATATTTCTCAAATTTCGTATGAAGGTTCGGTCCTGTTTCTCACTATTTCTTAAAAAGATCTTGGATTTTGATTATCTCTATCTAAAAAAAAGTAAATCTTTCTCATATTTTATATGAAGGTTACCCTTGGCCCAACATTGTACATTTTCATTTTGGGACTAAATTGGGGGGAAAATGGCCACCAAGTAGCCATCATTGAATTTTGATAGTTTAAGTTTATTTTCACTATTTCTCAAGAAGATCTTTCTCAAATTTAATATGATGTTTCCCCTTGGTCCAAAGTTGTGTATGTCATAACTTGATATTGTAATGTTCATCAGAAAATGTCAGACTAAGAGGCCATAACCTTCAGATTCATTATAAATAAATTGCTGGTATAAATGGTATTGCATATAATAGCTAGCTTCTGTACATTAAAACATATTTGTAAGGAACCCCAGGGGAGCTAAGAAAAATACCCATTCATCTATAGCTCAACACATAAACAACAGTTCAAAAGCTATTATAAAAGTGTGTTAAGAGTTTGTCATGCTTTAATCAGCTGTTAGATTCCTTTGTCTGAATTTGAATGGTGTAGGTATTTCTAAGTAAATACTTTCTCCTTCTATTTACCGACGTGTTACAAAATTCCAAAATGAATTAAATCACTAAATTTGACTAATATTTACTGTTCTATACTTTTGTGTTTTAACTGAGGCCTTGTTTGTTTAGCTTTTAGTGTTGTTATGTTGTTTACATGATTGTATATTCGAAAATCTATAGATGGTAAATTTATTAAATGTATAGGTGTTGTAAGTGGTTTTTCATGACCTCAGTGTTCTAATAAAGCTCACTGTACAGGTAAGGTTTATACATTTGACTGTGTGATATCAGTCATGTCATACAGCTGTACTTGTCCTACTGTGAAAATGTGCTGCAATATCATATTAGTCTGAAGTGATGAAATTATTTTCTGGAATGAAGATGGGAATATACATGTTGTAACAGGTATACTTACAGTCTAAAGTATTTGAAAGGAATTAATTCAAATTGTATTCCTCTAATGTGTGTTAATCATTCGGAATCCTCTCATTCTATCCGTTCACAGGATAACAGCATACTCATAGTTTGCAGGACCTGAATATTCGGAATCATGACTTTAATATACCCATAGCAATACCATTGAAAAAAAGATTGTCAGCTCATTATTGTGGATTATATAGTGTTTTGATTTGTCTATATGTACCTCAATGTACTGGAAATTTATAACTACGATTATAGATATAAAATCTACTTGCCCTGGGCACCTGGCTAGTGGAATGGTACACCTGTGACAATCTTATATTTGACTGTAATTTTACTTTTTTCATGACTTGCAGACTAGGCCACTTCTAAACTTTTGACACATATGCAACAACAACACTAACAAAATGACCAAAAATTTGGATATAGACAAGATTATTTATCAGCTGCTAACATACCAAGATGCACCAGGGAAGCAGGTATGTTGCACTTCGATATACAGAGCTTTATATTGTGTAGTGCCTGTTAAAATGATAAAAAAAAAAATGCATGGATTTATTAGTGGTGTTTGGCTCTCAAGAGATTTTATAAAGCTGAGGCTAATTCATCTGTATAGCTATATATACATATATAATAAAACCAAGAAAACAAGATATTGTCTTGTATTGTAGATGCATTATGTATATATTCATGTTGTAGAATGTTGCTGCAGCTGATGTCTCAGTTTGATTTACCCCTTTCCAGGTCCAGCTGCCCGAGTCCCAGATTAGACAACTATGCCAGCTTTCCAGAGAAATATTCATGGAGCAGCCAAACCTGCTTGAGCTAGAATCTCCTATCACCATTGTAGGGGATATACATGGACAGTACCAGGACATGATCTCGCACTTTGAACGTAATGGTTTCCCTGGAGAGGCTAACTATCTGTTTCTTGGGGACTATGTCGATAGGTAAACAACCAACATTGTATTTTTCAGAACCAAAAGGAATAGCAGAGGATTTGTCACAAGTTCTTGTTGTTACATTTCTGCGTTACATATCTCTATATTAAATTTAATTAGTTAAGATAAAGTAACACAGCCAAAACATTAACCAGCTTTTGAAAATGATTTGATGTTGTTCTCCATGTTTTTATATCACAGTTTTGTGCATACTACCAGTATAGGTACTGGAAATACTGTTTTCTAGGAGAATTTGAGTACATTTAGTCGTTCAGATGATTTTTGCTGTATATTAAATGGCATTCAATTTTTCTTTTTTGAGTGCCAATAGATAACAGATCTGTTATTATTTCATTGAAACATATGATGATCAATACACTTACATTCAATACTATTATCAGACTGATGTTCTAATCAGTACCTTAGGTATTTGTGCACTTGAGATTCAAAAATGATTTTGATGATTTTGTTGGGAGTTAAATGTGTCATTTTTCAGATTTCTGGTTTTCTTTTACTGGTTATCTTCATTCTTAAAAATCCCAACTACAAGGTAACTGTTTTACCCACTAAATGTAAAGTGTTTTATTTATATATAAATAGATGGAACCCATTTAAACAGATGAATTCCATTATTAAATACAGTGAAAAATCCTCAATGGAAAAGGACAAACCAAATATTGTGTTGAGGAAAGAGCAGCACAGCGCTTCAGAAAATTTGAAATTTCACTATGAATGACTGAACATTGTATTGATCATATTGAGACCTTATAGAGTAAAACTGTGTTTACATACCTATCACTTATAGTTTTATTTAGGTGTGTTGTGGATTTTCTCTTAACATATATATATGGGTTCCCACTGAATTTTAGATTTGGGGGCATATATATTACTTTTTTCAGAGTCTGTATCCCCATGTCCTTTAATAATGATTATATTTATACACACAGACATTGATTTTTTTCCGAAAAAAAGCCTTTTTATGCTTTATTCAGCTTCACTTTCATTCATTATTGCTTAAAACTACTCAAAACGTTTAAAAAGTTACATATAAAGGTCAGTATATAGGTCAATAGCCTATTACCTGTGGATGTATAAAGAGGGGTTAACTCGCCCTTTCACAGGCACTTCACACTTCATCACATATGTGTCAATTGTGTAATTGGTAAAGTTGATACCAAACAACAAATAATTCACAGGCTATCTCCTGATGCATTCAGACTATATTTCAGTCTGTTTCACTTAGTTCAGCACCCAGTATCCATGGTAACTAACACATTAAGTTGTATTTATTGAAAATGGGTAAAATATCTGTTTTCATTCTAATTACACTATTTTATGTTTTTTTTCCACTTGATTCNAAAAAAAAAATTATTCCTGAAAACTACAAAGTTATTCAAGTTTTAATTTTTCAGATTACCTCCCTTTGTTGGTAGTTTGAGAGCAGAATTGGTAAAAAATCACCTAGCAGGAGAATTCATATTACTCGGTCACTTTTAAAGTGAGAAAGGAAACGGATACATCTTTTTGTTCATTGTGTCATTTTCCAGACATTTAAAAGGTTTTGATTGAATTTTTGGGGAAAAAAAGGGATGTATAAGGTAGCAGAGTACAGTAGCGTACGGTGGCCATGGGTGATATTTTTATACAATGAATAACCCCTGTAATATAACATGTATCAAAATTTAAAAAAAAAATCAGCACTAAAATTGGCATATACATGATGAAGTGGACTATGTGGGCTTCATAATTTAAAAAAAAGAAAAGTCGAATTTGGTTTGAGACTACAATTTTGGGCATTTACGAATCTGTGTCTACACAACAAAAGCTAGCTTTTCATGTAGTCTATTTTTGTACTCAGCACATGTGTAAATATTGTGAAAAATCCACCGGAATGACCTATGCTAAAACGTGAGTATTTCTGTTACCGAGTAGGCGATATTTAATTTCAGACAGGTTTTAAGAAAAACAATTCTACTTGCGGGGGTCAAATTCTGGGTTAAAAATCATGATTTTTTGCATATTTTGGTGTTTTTTGATGTGGTAACCATGGTTTTCAGAAGTCCCAAATCTGGGGAAATCACTTTTTGAAAAAAAAAATGTTCTTCTAAAAAACACCTATTCAAAATGTAGTTTATAAATATATATATATATGTAGGTGTGTTGTGCAGGATGAATCCGCTATCCATGTTTATCCGAGACATGCCCTTTATTTTTAGGGTCAAGCCATTTCTACTGTACTCTGCCACCTAACTTCATAGAGCAGTTATTGAAAACTTGGGGTACAACTGTGTGTTTGGGGTAAACAACCATCATTCAGGGTTTTCTGGGAACACTGATAAATATTTAACCTAGTTACTTTAACACTATTTTTTGTGTAATTCCAAAACTTTTTGAGATATAATCAACTTGAAACAAAACTGTAACTTTCACCACATCCCAGAAATAACTCAACTTTATTGTATAGGATAAATCATTAAATGTAGTTTCTTCTTTTTACATTTCCATTTAGGTGGACGCTACATAGCAAAATATAGGCATTGTTCCTTGCATGTGTTCCTTGGTACTTTTGTTGATTTTAGTTCTAGTTATTGTAGCAGAATAAGGCATAATTGCCAGTGACCATGATGATGTAGATAGATCTAGAGGTTATGGGCTAGAATCTTGGTCTGATTACAATGATTTTTAACAGTTTAGTTTTATTGCAGAAGTTCAAATTGCATCTTTTATAGATCATAACAGATAGAGAAACATTATTATGACATTACTTTAATTTTTTTAATTTTCAGAGGCAAGAGATCTTTGGAAACAATTTGTCTTTGTTTAGCATACAAAATCAAGTATCCAAAAAATTTCTTTTTACTGAGAGGAAATCATGAATGTGCCTCAATTAACAGGTGAGACAAAATCATAATATACTTTGTATTAATATATTTTTATCCCAGCAACAAAGTTTGACGATTGTTGAAGTTAGGGAGTGGAATAATTTAGCCTGTGTGATCAGCAGCATATTATCTGGCTATGGATTCTTGGCACTTGCAAAATTTTAGATGTTATTTTCATGATGCTCTTCTTGTTTGCGGAAAATATCTTAAAAATGTATGGTTTTTTTCAGCTTACAAATTCTAGATATGATATGAGTTTTGTAAGTGTTACTCAAAATTGGATATGCAAACCTGCACAGTTTAGTAGTTTTAAAAGGCTCTATAGACTTGACAAGTGAACAGTTCTATTTGTGTCAGATCTGGATCTTTGAAGTGTGAATATGCAACACACCATCTTAATTATCAAAATGGTGTTCAATTTCCTAATAAGAGTACTAGCTGACAGGCACATTTTGAAAAATTCTACTAGCCCACCTATATTTTCATATTGTAACGGGAAAGAGAGTAGTGTGTTTCCATCGTGGATCGAACCCGAGATCCCAGACTTTCTAGTCCGACGCTCTACCACTGAGCTAAAGGGAAATTCCCTCTAGCGGGAAGCTAAATTAAAATCTGCCACACTACTCCCCCTTTTTAAATGTGTCTACGAGTATTAGGCCCAGGCGTCGGGCTAGTGCAATTGTACACCCCTACCCCTGTGTAAGTTTATAACTTTTATTTTTGAGGATTATCAGACATGTTATAAACATTCTTGGTGTTTGTCCTTTTTGTGTTGCCTGCGAAAAGCTGGTGACACATAGGTATTGCTATGTCAGCGGCAGCGTCCGCACAGATATTTTCGTGCGATAACTTGAGTTTCCTTCGGCAGATCAAACTCAAACTTCATGCAAACTGTATACTGGATGGCTTCGATCTACCCCGTGACCCACCGTGTATACCTCTGAAATGCCGTCTTACTCCTAATGTTATTGACAACACTAGCTGTTTAACATCATAATCTACAAGTTTATTCATTTATTTATGGGAAACCATTTGACAAATCATACAGATTAAACTTGGAATTGAGACAATGAGTATCCATAGCAAGTTCCTTAAAACTCAGAGTATTCTTCCCAGAATAACAGATTATATAACAAAATGATGTCATACAAAAACATAATCTATGATTATTGCTTACTTTTAACATTATTTCTTGAAATGAAAGTGTATCTATTTCTTCGTAATCTCCCAGTTTCCAGCGCAGGCGACACATCCACTTCCGTTGAATTCTTGTTGGTAGATCTATTTGAAATAAGTGAAGTTCTAATTTTAGCATTTCATTTTGTAAATTTGTAAGCAAAAAAAATTGAGAACAGTTATTTTAGATGCATTGTTTGTACCAAGATACAGTAATAGTATGCATTGCTTGTGTATGTTAAATATAAAATATGTATAGTTTTTATCAAGTTAACATCAGCAAACATAATGAATCATTCAACATTAATTAAAAATTTGAAAGGAATGCACTGTACTTTTCTCCTCCAGAATCTATGGATTTTATGATGAGTGTAAAAGAAGATACAATATCAAGTTATGGAAAACATTCACAGACTGTTTCAACTGTTTACCACTGGGTAAGATGAACCTTTTTGTGGTGACAAGGTCTGTTTTTAAAGAGTTTTACCTCATTTGACAAGATTAATCTGTTTTGTGGCATCTATGGTCAGATTTGTTTTAATCTATATATGCCAAAAGGCCAAGTGTCATTTTTTGATCTGTGACTTTTGTGGGTGAACAAAAAGGGCTTTCTCTTTTTTTCTTCAAATAAATGAACTTAACCTACATATGTCTCAATTCTTAATGATGAATACAGTACACAGTTGTCACTGAAGATTATATGTAGCATTAGGCCAAACAAAAAATATTTGGTGTTTCCAGTAACCCTACCTACCCTAATTGTTTGTGCCTACCCTAAACTTTTAAAGGCAATTTTCAAAGAAACACTGATAAAGGCAAGATCACCATATAAAATTATTTGTTGTAAAATAAAATGTGTTGCCTACCTAACCTAATTTTTTCCAACATGTTACAGGAAACACATTTTTATACGCCTGTCAAATTTGACGGAAGTATTATGGTATGGAGTTGTCCGTCCGGCGTAAACTTTTGTTTGTCCGGCAATCTCCTCCTACATTTTTCGACCAATCTCTTTGAAACTTAGTATATATTATAATCATGATATGAAGTTGCGTCTTCCTAAATAGAATTTTGATTTGATAATTTTTCCAAAAGTTATTGCCCTTTGTTCATTTCAGTATTTGATTTTTTGTCCAGAGATCTCCTCCTACATTTTTTGACGGATTTCTTTGAAACTTAATTAGTAGGCTCAATAATCATGATATGTTGTTGTGTTTCCTTGAACAAAATTTTGATTCAACCATTTTTCCAAAAGTTATTGCCCTTTGTTTATTTCAGTATTTGATTTTTGTCCGGCAATCTCCCCATACATTTTTCACTGGATCTCTTTGAAACTTGGTATACATTATAATCATGCTATGAAGTGGTGTCTCCCTAAAAAGAATTTTGATTCAACAATTTTTGCAAAAGTTATTGCCCTTTGTTCATTTCAGTATTTGTTTTTTTGTCCGGAGATTTTCTCCTACATTTTTTATAGCATGTCAGCTAACCACTCTTAGAATGATGCAGATCATATTTCAGTACATGTATATAACACTATATGGCATTCGATGGGCGTATATTGTTCCGCCGCACGGTACTCTGGTTTGGTCTAGCCTTGTATCATCATCTACAATAGTACATGTAAATGTAGTTTTCATGCTGAAGCATGCACTGCCTGCAATTTTGCTTTTAAACCATTCACAGACAAACATTTAAGTTGGTTTGATTACTCCAGAAATAAATGCACTCATCAGACTGTGACCATTTCTGTAGTTGAACAAAGAAAAATAGTCTCCAGATGTATCACTATTGATATTATTGACATGCTTTGAGATATTTCATACTTTTAGATATTAAAATGTTAATCCGTTTTTTTGTTCTTTCAGCTGCCATAGTAGAAAATACAATATTTTGCACACATGGTGGTTTGTCTCCAGATATGACTGACCTAGATCAGGTAAGCAGTACAGGTGAGTAGGGAAATCTGTAATATTAATCAAATTATGTACCCATCTCATCAGATCCATAGTAAAAATAATACCAGGTATATATAGTTCCGACTTCTACAAAAACATGAGCTTTTCCTTGCTGCAGCTGTTTGAGAAAGTGTTTGAATTTTTTTTAAGATCTTTGGCCATAAAAATGAAAAGTGCATATTTCGCTAAAGATCAATAGTCTTAATGTCTTTCAAATGATGGAAAACTGTCTAATAAACTTTCCTCTTTCATTGTATTTTCTTCATCTAAAACCTTCACTAATTTGAAAACTCAATTGAGTTTGCATTTAATACAATAACCATTATGTTTTAGAATGAAGATTATGTTTTGTGGTCCAGTTTAAATATAGCGTGTTATGACTTTCGCATATATTGTGCTGTGATCAATAATGCTCATCTTCAGATTATTAGTACCAGGTGTGTAGTAAGGTACTATGAAGGCCATGGTGAAATGAACCGCTGTTCATATTACCATTATGGTAATATGAACTACCCCATGGTGAAATGAAGGCTACCATCAATTTCTATTCTGACAATCATTTTTCCATTCGTTTTCTTTAGTTTACTTCAATTTGATGTATTCTATATGAAAATCAAAAACTTCCATTATATGGGAAAGTGAAGCACCCCTGCCCCACCCTAAATTTCTCTTCCCCAGATTTAATTTTTGTGATTTGTGGCGGGTTCATATTACCATAATGGTAATATGAACCGCAGTTCATTTCACCACTAAGTGATATGAACTGTGGTTCATTTCACCACTAGTTAATATGAACCGTGATTTCGTTTCACCACTAGGTAATATGAACCGTGATTTCATTTCACCACTAGGTTATTTGAACCGTGATTTCATTTCACCACTAAGTGATATGAACTGTGGTTCATTTCACCACTAGGTAATATGAACTGTGATTTCATTTCACCACTAGGTAATATGAACCGTGATTTCATTTCACCACTTAAGTGATATGAACTGTGGTTCATTTCACCACTAGGTTATATGAACCGCGGTTCATTTCACCATGCTTCACAATACCATGCTACACCTGTTAATTAGCTTAATACTTTTGACTAACTACCAGCTGGGATGTTTCAGAAATCGTGTTTTGCTTGGAAGATTTTTTTTTCAATGTTAGATGTATAATTAAACATTGGCTCTGAGCGGAGAATTGGAAATCTGTTTACCTGTTATTTTCTGAACATGTGAACCTGGTTATTTCAGTCTTTGTTGAAGAAAAGGGCAAAATATAGTGCCTGAGATTGGGACAGTATTTTCACTGCCAAGATGAATAAGAGCAAGGTTTATTTTTTCTACCTTTTTTCTACTGGTGTTTGGGATACTATTTCAGGGTAGTGCTAAGTTGAGAGATAGACAGACATTTCTCTGAGGTTGTGCTTACTGTTTCATAGTAAATAGCTGAAAAATAAACTATACAAGTCCGTTTATGTTGTATAGTACAATAAAGTACCATAATAAGAGTATATATAGTACAATACAAATATAGCTCTTCAGCACCTTCTTTATAGCAAAATACTTGCTGTAAAAATTAATGGAAATTACCTGACCATTGTTTTGTACAGATCAGAAATATAGAACGACCCTGTGATGTGCCTGACATGGGACTAGTGTGTGATTTGATGTGGTCAGACCCAGATGATGTAAGTAAAGTTAACTAAACAAAATTAAATGATAGTACTGCATTACTCTCTTATCAAAATCTTATCCACTGCTATTGGCACCAAGTGTCTACATATACAACAATTATTGATTAAGATACTACTTATAAAGTGGCACTTTTACTATATAGATGTTTTTATCAAAATTATATAGTCCAATTAAGTCTAGTTGTTCAAGATATGAATATTGGATTGCTGATTTGGAGTAAAAGTGAAATGGAAGGGAAGGTAGGGGGAAACCATTTGTATTGCATATGAATGCCAACTGAAAGCAGTTCAATACTTGACCATATTTTAGAATTTGTCTTATCTCATAGAAAATTCAATTACGCTTGCTATTATTCAGCATTTAATTCAATTAATGTAATTATCAAATATGTTTGTTTAATGAACAGAACTGCCATCTGTCAAGGGAGGGTCAGTGGTATCCAACTTGGCAATTTGTTATGATGCAACAATCAGCTCCTGTCATTTATAGTCTAAATGAATGCCATCTGAATGTGGCAGGGTTATATATAGTTGCTATGCCATCAATACAATAGTAAATTTAAGTTAATGTCTCAGCAATAAATAGACAAAATTTTATCAGCACAACTCAAGATGTACACAAATTAAAGATACATGTGTACTATATATAGAGGTGTAGAATGCCACTAGTTCAATGCCCCAGGTCTAGTGAAAGTTTTCTAAGTTTACTATAGAATAATAGGTTGAGCAAGTGAAATTTTTCAAAATCTTCCTACAGGTGAGGCAAGTACATCTCTGCGTTATTGTATTATGTATTTACCGTTACATTATTAAGTGGTCTCTTGGATAATTAAAATGTAAATAAAAAAGCTGTGAAATTGTGGAGTGATTATTGTTTGGTATTTGAGATAAGATTTCTCTTATTTGCTAGTAAAAAGGTCATTGTACTAATATGGTTGAACTACTTACCAGCACCCCTGGTACTACGATGTACAATGTACTAGTTTCGTTTGACACCAGTGAGCTGCACTAAGAAATATAAATGTCTACCGCTCATTACATTTTAGGATATAACTGGTTGGGGTGAGAATGACAGAGGTGTGTCTTTCACATTTGGAGGGGATGTTGTCGACAAATTCCTGGAAAGACATAACTTATCCCTCATAGCTAGAGGTCATCAGGTAAGAGAGGCCCAATGAACAAATTTAGAGATAATACAGTATATTCATGACCATGTTTTCACTGGCATAATTTGCTTTTTAAAAAAAGGGAATTTTTGTGATAGAGATGAAATTTTTGCCATAATTCCAATTGTTTATTATACAGTTTGTATAATAGCCTTAAAAGGTAGTGATTATTGGTTAAATATCTACACTTAGACCCATATATCAGCCAAATAAAGACGGTTTATGTGTACTAATTAATTAAAACCTTAATAACCTTCATATGTGTTTAATAGGATAGTATTCTATTCCAGATTGGCCAAGCCAAATACCAGGCTTGAATATCTTTACCCGACAGGTTACCGGAGCCTACTAACTCCATTACCATTTTCGATGTGTTTTTTGAAGTAAAAACAGTAAAGAAAAAAAAAATAGGAAGAGGAAGTCATATCTTATATAATCTGATTTAATGATAACTATATGATCTGATTAATTGATAATGACCGTGTTTGTAGGTGGTAGAAGATGGATATGAGTTCTTCAACAAAAGAAAAGTAAGTATTACAAGAAAATCTACTGAATACTGTGCAAGTCATTTACTTGCCATTAATGTTACTTTTATGATTTTTGCGACAAGTAACGTGAATGTGTTAATTGGACATCAAAGTGAACATTGAACATTTCTAATTAAGTAACACATATAAATAAAAATAAAATCTTAACAACTTATAGACCACAAATTAACAATGTAGAAATTTTGTTTTCAGACCGTGTAAATAATATTGCACAATATCATTATTAATTATATGTTGAACAACAGACTTACAATATTGAGATCTGTACAGCTGATTAGAATATCATCATTTGCCATTCTTACTTTTAACTTACAACTGCTGAGATAGTGAATGGGGATATTGGTAACAGAGTCCCTCTTCAGAACTTATCATATTTGGAACACAGCTGATAGTATTTTTAACAAACGTTTATGAAATTTCATAGCTGAGGGTTGTCAGTTAGACTTCAGCTGACAGTTCTATTTTGATAAAACTTCCTAGATATGAGTATTATGTCTGTGGCATTTGCCAACCTGAAAGGTCACAGCACAGAGTCAAATGAAAAACAAATTCACACCAAGACTGACTTGAATGCTGAACATTATCTGATGATACTATTCTCAACGAAAAGAATTAACAAGAGAATGTGTCACCTACCACTCACCGATTCATACAATCAAGGTCATAGTAATGGGTCAAAGGTCAAATCATAACATTGATTCTCCAGACTGTACATAGCTGAAAAAACAATTGCTGAACAGTATTGATCAAATTTCATATACCTGGTATATGATCATGGCACTACTAACAGGTCCCTACACTCAAGGATAAGTTCACAGCAAGGGATCAAGGATAAAATCAATGCAAGATTATTGAATGCTGAACAAGGTACTTGCACTCAAAGGGTCATAATTAAATACTACAATACTTTTTTACAGAATGACTACTGAACCACTTAAGTATTATAGAGGGTTATTGTGTCAAGGTCAGGATCGTGACAAGGGTCAAACTAAAGTAAAGCTTGTCCACATCACAACTGAACCCCAGCATTTGATGAAATTTCATGGTGGAAACATTTTCAACTTTTTGTCTTGTTAAGTTTGTCATACATGGATGTCTAATATGGATATTTTTCTCTTCAGCTGGTGACACTCTTCAGTGCTCCCAACTATTGTGGGGAGTTTGACAATGCTGGTGCGATAATGGTGGCTTCAGAGGACCTTATGTGCTCATTTAGTATACTAAAGGTGAGTTTATAGGACTGTACAAATTTCTTTGTCCCGCTATGGGATAAAAAAACCTCCCATAAAATATCTAATTCTTTAGTCACCATCACAAATAGAATCAGACATAATGCTACAATTGCAAAATATATTTAATATTATAATATATATAATAAAACAAAAGGCATGATTATCATACATCAGGGGTTGACACTGGTCCACTACTCCTGGACTAGTAGATTTCAGCAAGGACTAGTGAATCACCTAGCCTAACTGGTCCTTTGGACTTGTGAAAATATGATTATAAGATAATTCTTAAAATATCGAAAACTAATTAAAATAAGATATATTGCATGATAATTGTCAAAATTTACTTAAATCTTCACCATATTTTTATGGCAGTAGTTATTTCAGGTCACCTACAGTCAATTACTATTGATATTTCGTGCTGTAGATCGCGATGTTTCCTTACTAGGAAATCTTGGACTAGTTACACTGACAAAGAACTAGAAAATAATCTTTTCAACTGGTCCTGTGGACTACTACGTAAGCAAAAAAAGTTAGTGTCTAACCCTGTACATCATCAAAATCTGCCAGACTAAGAAAAAAGTTAGTGTCTAGCCCTGTCCATCATCAAAATCTGCCAGACAAAGAAAAAGTTAGTGTCTAACCGTGTACATCATCAAAATTTGCCAGCCTAAGAAAAAATTAGTGTCTAGCCCTTTACATCATCAAAATCTGCCAGACAAGCTGACTAAGAAAAAGTTAGTGTCTAGCCCTGTGCATCATCAAAATCTGCCAGACAAGCTGACTAAGAAAAAAGTTAGTGTCTTCCCCTGTACATCATCAAAATCTGCCAGACTAAGAAAAAAGTTAGTGTCTTACCCTGTACATCATCAAAATCTGCCAGACAAGCTGACTAGGAAAAAAGATAGTGTCTAACCCTGTACATCATCAAAATCTGCCAGACTAAGAAAAAAGTTAGTATCTAACCCTGTACATCATCAAAATCTGCCAGACTAAGAAAAAAGTTAGTGTCTAGCCCTGTACATCATCAAAATCTGCCAGACTAAGAAAAAAGTTAGTGTCTAGCCCTGTACATCATCAAAATCTGCCAGACTAAGAAAAAAGTTAGTGTCTAGCCCTGTACATCATCAAAATCTGCCAGACTAAGAAAAAAGTTAGTGTCTAGCCCTGTACATCATCAAAATCTGCCAGACTAAGAAAAAAGTTAGTGTCTAGCCCTGTACATCATCAAAATCTGCCAGACTAAGAAAAAAGTTAGTGTCTAGCCCTGTACATCATCAAAATCTGCCAGACTAAGAAAAAAGTTAGTGTCTAGCCCTGTACATCATCAAAATCTGCCAGACTAAGAAAAAAGTTAGTGTCTAGCCCTGTACATCATCAAAATCTGCCAGACTAAGAAAAAAGTTAGTGTCTAGCCCTGTACATCATCAAAATCTGCCAGACTAAGAAAAAAGTTAGTGTCTAGCCCTGTACATCATCAAAATCTGCCAGACTAAGAAAAAAGTTAGTGTCTAGCCCTGTACATCATCAAAATCTGCCAGACTAAGAAAAAAGTTAGTGTCTAGCCCTGTACATCATCAAAATCTGCCAGACTAAGAAAAAAGTTAGTGTCTAGCCCTGTACATCATCAAAATCTGCCAGACTAAGAAAAAAGTTAGTGTCTAGCCCTGTACATCATCAAAATCTGCCAGACTAAGAAAAAAGTTAGTGTCTAGCCCTGTACATCATCAAAATCTGCCAGACTAAGAAAAAAGTTAGTGTCTAGCCCTGTACATCATCAAAATCTGCCAGACTAAGAAAAAAGTTAGTGTCTAGCCCTGTACATCATCAAAATCTGCCAGACTAAGAAAAAAGTTAGTGTCTAGCCCTGTACATCATCAAAATCTGCCAGACTAAGAAAAAAGTTAGTGTCTAGCCCTGTACATCATCAAAATCTGCCAGACTAAGAAAAAAGTTAGTGTCTAGCCCTGTACATCATCAAAATCTGCCAGACTAAGAAAAAAGTTAGTGTCTAGCCCTGTACATCATCAAAATCTGCCAGACTAAGAAAAAAGTTAGTGTCTAGCCCTGTACATCATCAAAATCTGCCAGACTAAGAAAAAAGTTAGTGTCTAGCCCTGTACATCATCAAAATCTGCCAGACTAAGAAAAAAGTTAGTGTCTAGCCCTGTACATCATCAAAATCTGCCAGACTAAGAAAAAAGTTAGTGTCTAGCCCTGTACATCATCAAAATCTGCCAGACTAAGAAAAAAGTTAGTGTCTAGCCCTGTACATCATCAAAATCTGCCAGACTAAGAAAAAAGTTAGTGTCTAGCCCTGTACATCATCAAAATCTGCCAGACTAAGAAAAAAGTTAGTGTCTAGCCCTGTACATCATCAAAATCTGCCAGACTAAGAAAAAAGTTAGTGTCTAGCCCTGTACATCATCAAAATCTGCCAGACTAAGAAAAAAGTTAGTGTCTAGCCCTGTACATCATCAAAATCTGCCAGACTAAGAAAAAAGTTAGTGTCTAGCCCTGTACATCATCAAAATCTGCCAGACTAAGAAAAAAGTTAGTGTCTAGCCCTGTACATCATCAAAATCTGCCAGACTAAGAAAAAAGTTAGTGTCTAGCCCTGTACATCATCAAAATCTGCCAGACTAAGAAAAAAGTTAGTGTCTAGCCCTGTACATCATCAAAATCTGCCAGACTAAGAAAAAAGTTAGTGTCTAGCCCTGTACATCATCAAAATCTGCCAGACTAAGAAAAAAGTTAGTGTCTAGCCCTGTACATCATCAAAATCTGCCAGACTAAGAAAAAAGTTAGTGTCTAGCCCTGTACATCATCAAAATCTGCCAGACTAAGAAAAAGTTAGTGTCTAACCCTGTACATCATCAAATTCTGCCAGACTAAGAAAAAGTTAGTGTCTAGCCCTGTACATCATCAAAATCTGCCAGACTAAGAAAAAGTTAGTGTCTAACCCTGTACATCATCAAATTCTGCCAGACTAAGAAAAAGTTAGTATCTAGCCCTGTACATCATCAAAATCTGCCAGACTAAGAAAAAAAGTAAGTGTCTAACCCTGTATATCATCAAATTCTGCCAGACTAAGAAAAAAGTTTAAAATTTGTATGTTAAGAGGCTTAGTTAAACAATACAGAATAGTAATAGGTGGTTAAGTAGCTAACCAACATTGGATCAGTTAATTGCCAAGTAAGGATTGACTACCATGAAAAAGGGATCACATATGGCATGAAGTGCATGTGAACTTAGGGTATGGTGCAGCTTCTTTGAATAACTTCTTGAAAATTGAAGACCCTACTGTCCCAACATTTGGCATAAAGGTACCTGGTCAACTTCAGAACTGGCCACTTTTAAATGTTTTTGGTTTTAATGGGTAAAAAGCTTTTAAGAATCTTCTTAAGTCATATATTTGACTTACTTTCAAGGTAACAAACAAGGGTCAAATATGTTACAAATTGCAAGCAACATTTTATAAAGAGCTCGAAGGTCTAGAGCAATGATGCTGGAGTAAGATGTATAGTTCAGTAATGCACATCTTTTTCTAACATTGTGTTTAGGTCAAAGGTCAAAATTGAACACTGGCCACGGGTAATACTCAGTAAACAGAATCTTCTTAAGAAGTTCTAGAAGGCCCAGGGTTCAGATGTGTGACCAGGCCTAGGACGGGTACTAGGGTGGAGTGCTATGAAGTTTTTACATATTAGTGACCTACTTTCAAGTTCACATGGGTCAAATATGTTGGAAAAAAATAAAAACATTATTTCTTAAGAAAGATAAGTTCTACAGAAATGCTTACCAAGTATGATATGTGGACCAGCAGTACAAATCATTTTCTAAGTTACATGTATTGTGTGTATACCAAATGTCAACTTTGAGTGCTGGTCAGGGTCAAATTCTAAAATATGTTATAAAGGGTAAATAAAACTTTTAAGAACTTCTGTAAAGCCCAGGTTCCTGATATTTGGCCAGTAGGCATCGGGTATAGATTGTTATAAAAATTTGCTAATGTAAATGACTTTTCAAGTACTTTCAAGGTCATGGAGTCAGATATGTTAAAAAATCTTCAAACAACATTTTCTAAAGAATCATATGGTCTAGATAGAGCATGATGATACTTTGATGCATTATGTAGACCAGTCATAAAAACATATTTTTTAGTCTGTGGGCCATAACTTGGAAACAGATGAGATCCATATCATGTAATCGAAACAACACAAGCAAACATGTGGATTAGTCTGTGGATCAGGGCCTGCCCCTCAGCATTTATTCTCCAATCATATTTTTTTTTTTGGTCAGGTAAGAGTCCAAAATGAGGAAATATTGGCAATACTACTTTCTATAAGAATATTTTACGATGATTGCTTAGATTTCCAGGTTAACAATACAGGGCCTCATGTTGATTAGTAAATAAGACGGTATTGAAATTGTTCATTTCAGCCTGCCAAAGGAAAAACAGTAGCTGTCAAAAAGTGAATATGTTCAACAGAATTAAGATGTTCCTCGCCTGAAGAATCCTTGGCCAAAGCTCAAAGTATTATTATAAATAACATTTTGAAATAAAATCTAATATGTGGAGGTTGTTACCACTCACCTATGGAATCAAACAATTTACCTGGTATTAAGACATAGGTGTTTAAGGATCCTGTTCAATCTTTTTTGTGGTAGTATAATGTTTACTTTGTAGAAAATAGTAAATGAGTTGGCAGCTTATTTGCCTTTCTACAGGCACCTGCATAGATATCAGAGATAATGAAACAGATTTGTTATAGATTTTTATAGAAGTTCCTGTTATTTTTTTTGCCATATCCATATTGTATAGTCTTCATACTCATTTATACAGACATGTAAACTAAATTTTATTGTTAAGATTTTGTCTGGAGTTTTGTCTCTCCTGAAGAGTTGCAATGTAAAATACATCCTTTTAATGTATTGTCCCATCAACTTTTCCATGTGTTGGTTATCTTTAGTGTTGGAAGATTGTAGAGCTTAAATCTTTTGAGTCTATGAAAATTGCAAAATTACTCTTATCAAACTAAAATGAATTATGTACCATTGGCTTTGAAATACTTTTACCTAAACGAACATACAATTAATTTACCTTTCAAACATTCATTAGTATGATAAAGTCCTGCAGAAATGAACTTCAAAATCACTACTGCTAACATGCCCATAAAAAGGTGTTTAAATTTCTTTGACATTAATGAGCTGGCCATTAATCATGAGGACCGTTAATGGTAAAATCCTTTGAGATAATGACCATAATATTTCCATGATAATTACAAATAGTTATTGGCCATTATTAAATTCCCTTGCTTCTTTTTAGTTAAAAAATACAGATAATGATCATTACTCTCTCTTTAATCCAATTTTGGCATTAATGTGATATATAAATTACTATTAATTCCAGATGTCCATGAAGACAAGGCCATTAGAAGTACATAATGGGGCCCATTTGAATGTTTTCATGATCAAGATTAATTGGAATCAGTTTTAACACTTAGCCATTGATCTTGGGCATCAATGACCAATAAATCCAAACCACCTATTGAAGTATTAAATGCACCATTCTTTAATCTTATATATGGCAATAAATCATGGAAAAATAAATAATGGCACCTTTATATATTTACTCATGTAATATTTTGGAACATGTAAATGGCATTTTTTTCTTTCTTATGAAAATACAAGAATGATATAGTTCAGATCTCAAATCCGAATATATTGAATGGCCATTACAATTGTTATCAATAATAAAAAGTAATAGTTAGGATACATAAAATAAATCTGGAAAAGCAATTGTGAAGAAATGGAAACATTTCCATAGACAATCATGAGCTTTTTATTTTGAAGCCACTTAAGTTTTTTTTATATTATACATATTTGATCCACACATAAAATTATTTTTAAAAATGAAAAGGATTTCGTCATATATACAGTGTGGACTGATTAAATGGTCAATTTGCAGCAGAAATGGTCATGCAGATAGATGTAATAAATTTTCAAAACATTCATGACCATTAAATACAGAAAATAATTAATTTTGGCCATCAAATAGACAAAACAAAACCCAATGAGCATTATGAATTTCACATAAAAAAAAAAAACCATGAAGAGCTAGGAAAAATGACAGAAAGTGACCATTATTTTTGAAGTAATTGCAATTACTGGTATCTAAAATAATAAAAATTTGCCAAATACAAGAGATTTTGAATGCAATATTAATTGGTAAGATTGGTAGTGTTTAATGAAGATTATACAAAGCTTAGTCAATATTTAAACACATTGAAACATACATATGGGCTAACAGAGCTTATGTCATGGTACACTATCCATAGAAAGCACGCTTGCATTTCACCAAGAAGGCTCATTTCGTCATTCAAACATTAAATGGGATAAAGTCACTTGCCCAATCAGATGGGTTTCTCCAGGTAATCTGGCTTCCTTCCATCTCGGCAAACATTAGTGGCAAAGTTTAATAACTGTTGGAAAATAAAAAAAGTTAAAGTAGCTTTTCTCAAGAAAGACCGCTACTACAGAACTGATGACGGCATGACAAAGCAATAGCAGTTGAGTAATACATGCACCTTGGGCATATTGTTCATTTTAAAATTAAGTGTCAGATACATTATTGTTGTTTTTTCATAATCTTGATAGGTTCTGTTAAGTAAAAATACATTTACATCGATATCGTACATTTAATTTATCAAAGCAGTCACTTTGTTCAGCCGATTGCATCTTTTCCATAGTAAATTTCTAGACTGCTGAATGTTATTTTATGAAACTCTATGAATTTGTTTGAGGCTGCTTTGGAACTACAAATATAGAACCAGCTGACTGAATATGTTGTAAACATTTCATTTTCACCCTTGAATGACAGGGGAGTTTAACACCAGTAAATATTTATATAATCATAAATTGTTGTGAGCAGTACCAGTAAATATTGCATGTGGTAATTTAAGCATGTTTTAAATTGCCAAATGACAAGGCAAATGGGGTTGAACATGTTACGGTTGACAATAAGGTCTATGTACACCAATCTTCCCAACAAGGTATCGGCAAAAAAGTCAGCAACCCTTACGTGGACTGACAGTCTAAAGATGGCTAATTTGCTCATGCAGTTCTTTTTTCTTCCAGTATGTTTCAAGTTTTCTTTATGGATACTTGACTTTGTTAAGCCCTGCAAATTTAAAAGGTATTCTGTGGGCATATGAAATGCTTATCATTTACAAAACCAACCAATAGTGTTTCCGGAGTGAATACGTGTGCAAGATAGGTGATAAATTGAAAGAAATGTTAAAATCTGAATGAAACCGTAACTTGCATGAGAGTATCCAAAAGAATTCGGAAATATTTGGACACTTGTTTAGATATTTTGTAGTCAACATCCATTATGGTAAATTAAAGCACTCCATGTAATGGCCGATTTAGGAGCAGGCTAACAATTCTGTTTGCATTTTTTGTTTTTACTGTCTTTATAGGGAATTCTTTGCTTTCACTTTAGAATTGTATTTATCTTAACTATAACAATCCGTCCAGTTGAAGCCAATGAACATTCTGTGATCTCTATTTTGTCTTTGTATCCAGTAAGTGTACATGTAGTAAAGTTTGTATTTTTAAAATGTTAATTACATTTGTAGATTTGTGATGAATCAATATGGTTTCACAGAAGTCTCATGCAAACAACAAAGCAAACCTGGAGGCCAAAACAAAACAAGTGATTCAAAATAATTACAAAGTAGGATGAGTATAGCTGTACATATGAACTTTATCAAATGGAGAAATATTTTACCATATTGTTATACCAGAAATTTGGAAATATTCATTTTTCCTTTATCAATTTTAATAGTATGTAGTAATGACTGGATATTATTGTTGAATAAATGTTTTTATTAAATATATCCAAAAGATGTTGGGATCGTGGCTTGTTATTTATGTCCAATGAGTTCCCAGTACATGTCTCAAGAACAAGAGGCCCAGAGGGCCTGTATCGCTCACCTGAATATAATTAAAGTAATTGGTATGAAGTAAAGATATAGAACTCCATGGTAGGTGCTGTTAGTACATATGAAATTTCAGAAAGATCCATCCAGTACTTGAGATATAGAGAACAAACTTCAAACAGAGCCCCACCCCTATGCCCCTACGGGGGTCATACCCACTAATTATACAAAATTGAGTCACCGTCACCCAAGGATGCTCCACACTAAATAAGGATAAAATCCCTTAATCCCGATGGTTGGAGAAGGATTTTAAAGGTTTTACTTCTATTTTTCCTATTGGGCCCCGCCCTTCTGCCCCCCCTCGGAGACCACACCTTCTGCTAATACAAAATTTAGTCCCCTTGGGCCAAGGATGCTCCAGACTAAATTAGGATAAAATCCCTTAATCCCTATGGTAGAAGAAGGATTTTAAAGGTTTTACCTCTATTTTCCCTATTGGGCCCCACCTCTCTGCCTACAGCGGGGTCAGACACACCGTTTATACAAAATTGGTTCCCCTTCACCCAAGAATGCTTCAGACCAAATATGGATAAAATCCTTTCATTCCTACAGAAGAAGAAGGATTTTAAAGAATTTGCTATATTTCCCCTATTGGGCCCCGCCCCTAAGCCCCCAGGGGGGCCAGACCCACCATTTATACAAACTTTGTTCCCCTTCGCCCAAGGATGCTTCTGACCAAATATGGACCAAATCCTTTCATTCCTACAGAAGAAGAAGGATTTTAAAGAATAATTTGCTATGTTTCCCCTATTGGGCCCCGCCCCTCAGGCCCCTGGTGAGCCAGACCCATGGTTTATACAAAATTGGTTCCCGACAACCCAAGGATGCTCCACACCAAATATGGACCAAATCCTTTCATTCCTACAGAAGAAGAAGGATTTTAAAGAATAATTTGCTATGTTTCCCCTATTGGGCCCCGCCCCTCAGGCCCCTGGGGGGCCAGACCCACCGTTTATACAAAATTGGTTCCCCTTTACCCAAGGATGCTCCACACCAAATATGGACCAAATCCTTTCATTCCTACAGAAGAAGAAGGATTTTAAAGAATAATTTGCTATGTTTCCCCTATTGGGCCCCGCCCCTCAGGCCCCTGGGGGGCCAGACCCACGGTTTATACAAAATTGGTTCCCCTTCACCCAAGGATGCTTCAGACCAAATATGGAACAAATCCTTTCATTCCTACAGAAGAAGAAGGATTTTAAAGAATTTGCTATATTTCCCCTATTGGGCCCCGCCCCTCAGCCCCCAGGGGGGCCAGACCCACCATTTATACAAAATTTGTTCCCCTTCCCCCAAGGATGCTTCTGACCAAATATGGAACAAATCCTTTCATTTCTACAGAAGAAGAAGGATTTTAAAGAATAATTTGCTATGTTTCCCCTATTGGGCCCCGCCCCTCAGGCCCCTGGGGGGCCAGACCCACGGTTTATACAAAATTGGTTCCCCTTCACCCAAGGATGCTTCAGACCAAATATGGAACAAATCCTTTCATTCCTACAGAAGAAGAAGGATTTTAAAGAATTTGCTATATTTCCCCTATTGGGCCCCGCCCCTCAGCCCCCAGGGGGGCCAGACCCACCATTTATACAAAATTTGTTCCCCTTCCCCCAAGGATGCTTCTGACCAAATATGGACCAAATCCTTTCATTCCTACAGAAGAAGAAGGATTTTAAAGAATAATTTGCTATATTTCCCCTATTTGGCCCCGCCCCTCAGGCCCCTGGGGGGCCAGACCCACCATTTATACAAAATTGGTTCTTCTTCACCCAAGGATGCTCCACACCAAATTTTGTTAAAATCCGCTCAGTGGTTCATGACAAGTAGTGTAAAGTTGACGGACGACGGACACTGCGGTATGGCATAAGTCCATTTTACACAAAATGGTGGACAACACAAATCAAATTTCTCTGCAAAATTTTGACATTTGTATTTCGCACATCACTTGCTTGAGATTTCATTTCTACACAAATCACACTGCTTCATTCCACATCACTTTTATGACAAGTGTTGAAAGCGAAGATTATTTTAACAGAGCGTACATCCCATTTAATTGACACAAAGATATCACTGCAGTTTGTTCATAAGTCAACATGTGTGCGCCTTTTGCATGTGTTAAAACGAAACCTTAGATAACTTACACGGGATTCTAGGGGTGAGGTCTTGGTGCCGACCAAGACCCCATATCTTAAAATATTGCTGGTATGTGGGTCCTGTCTTTTGAATATTTTGTGTTCTCCTTTTGAACAGGCACTTGTACGGCTACCAATGAGATCATGCCAAGTTGAAGCATGTTTTTGTTGGGTTTCAATATTAAACAAATCCCCTCGCATTCACATATTGTGACATATGTAAGAGGAAATGAAGTCGCTAGAGCAATGAAAAAGTTTTTTCTAAAAATAGTAAAAATGACCTTCACCTTTAGTGCAGTAACCTGAAACACCAACTTGTTCAAGGCAATGCCAATCATAACACTTGTATCAAGTTTCATGAAATTCTGTTCAGGAATGAAGTTGATGGAGCGATGACAAAGTTTTTGGAAAACAAGAGACCCATGGGCCTTAACGGTCACCTGAGTCCTACAGTATTAATTTTTGTTGTGGAGATAATGAGGTCAATCATCCCTACCAAAATTTGAGTAAAACAAGAGGCCCAATGGGCCTACATCGCTCACCTGGTAAAAAACTTCACCCTTGTAACCTTAAAAGTGATCTAAAATAAAGCTACAGGCAAAATATCAGTATTTATGAATAAAATTCATTCAAAAGACCCTGTTAATTTTTTTAAAAACATTTCAACCCTGTGATTGAAAGTCGAACAAAGTCATTATGTTGAACACATTGTATAGCCTTTCATCTCAGGATGCAACTTGCAAAGTATAAACATCCTGGGACCCATGGTTATTCATAAGAGGTTGTTTAAAGATTTTAAACAAATTTGACCCCTGTGACCTTGAATATAAGTCAAAGTCATTCACTTTAACAAACATAGTAGTCCTTGATCCCAGCATATGCTACTAACTAAATATCAACATCCTGAGCCTTTTGGTTATTCAGAACAAGTTGTTGAAATATTTTAAACATATTTGCTCCTTGTGACCTTGAATATGATTCAAGGTCATACATTTAAACAAACTTGGTAGCCCTTGATCCTAGTATGCTACTGACTAAATATCATCACCCAGGGCATTTTGGTTATTCAGAAGAAGTTGTTTAAAGTTTTTAACATATTTGACCCCTGTGACCTTGAATATGGGTGAAGGTCATTTATTTGAACAAACTTTGTAGCCCTTTATCTCAGCATGCTACTGGCCAAATATCATCACCCTGGGCATTTTGGTTATTCAGAAGAAGTTGTTTAAAGGTTTTTAAATACAATTGACCCCTGTGACCTTGAATATAATTGAAGGTCATTCATTTGAACAAACTTGGTAGCCCTTCACCCAAGCATGCTACTGGCCAAATATCATCTCCCTGGGCAGTTTGGTTATTGAAAAGAAGATGTTTAAAGTTTTTAACATATTTGGCCCCTGTGACCTTGAAAATAGTTTGCTTCTAGCCAAATATCGACACCCTAGGCCTTTCCGTTATTAAGAAGAAGTCGTTTAAAGTAAAATATTGACACCGGCCAGCCAGACGACGGACAGACGGACGACGGACGCCGCACCGCGGCCGAAGTGCCAAGTGAGCTAAAAAGTTGTCAGGACCATGAGTTGATCATTCCTAGACCTAATTTCGGTTAAATCGGCCTATTAGAACATATTGGATTTCTGATCGACCTAAAAAATAACAACACTTTGGCAGGACTATAAGTGGATCATTCCCACGATGTTTTAGTTAAATCGACCGAGTAGAACTTGACTTAAAATTTGAAATAGTTTTTCAAAATGGCTTGTCATGGTGGCCATATTGGATTTCTAGTCGACCCGAAAAATAACAACACTTTGTCAGGATCATAAGTTGATCATTCCTTCAATGTTTCAGTTAAATCGGCCCAGTAGAACTTGACTTTAAATTTGAAATAGTTTTTCGAAATGGCGGCCGTGGCGGCCATATTGGATTTCTGATCGGCCCGAAAAATAATAACACTTGGTCAGGGAGTTGTCAGTAAAATTCCCATGAAATATCGATGAAATCCCTTTGACAGTACTGCAGCAGGCGACGACGGATAGCAATAGGTCACTTGAGCTAAAGCTAAGGTGACCTAAAAATAGTAACCTTGACCTTGAACATAGAAACCGGAAACGTGAACTTGTCCATTAAGGCATTGCTTTGAAGGTTGTTCAGAAGTAGAGGGGTAATATAAGATCCCAATTCTTGCAATGGGTGAAGCAGATTTATTTGGTAACTTTTGTGTCCCCAATTCTAAAGGGTTTACCACATTAGGTGCTTCATGCAACATGGAGTTTGTCTTTTCTCCATCCCCACCCTGCAAGGTTGTTCAAATTGGAGTATGAACAAATGGGGACAAAGAGGATAATGCATCTTAAGTTTGACTTTGTAACTGGAATGAACTGATACATAAGGTGATTAATTTAACACCATTCCTTCCTCACTTCGTTCTATGCAGGGGTATACATTGAAATCTAATCAGTTATGCAAAATTTTAAAAGTTTTCTGTTTTCACCATTCCATGGTATACAATTTAGTGTCACATCAACAATATGCTAGAAAAATCTGCATTGGGGTACCCTAGGATATTAATTTTCATACCGTCAAACAGCTGAAATCAACAAAATGTGCCAAAAAGTGTTTACTCNTTGACTTTAAGTTTGAAATGTAAAATGTTAACGGACGACGGACGACGGACGACGGACGACGACGGACGAAAACGGATAGCAATAGGTCACTTGAGCTAAAGAAATATAGTAAACCTAACCCCTTCTACACTGGGGAACGGGCGATAATGAAATTTACAATTTTGATACAATTTTTAGAATTTTTCCATCCATGAACAGCATTTGATTCTAGCAACTGAATTTTTTTTTTTTACCAATTTGACTTTCGTTGGCCCCGAGTCAGTGTCATCATTTTCATACATCAAACTCCATCTTACTCCTCTGATCAATCTCAAAATGAAACATGCACAACTACAGCTCGAAGAACCAAGGGCCACCAAGCTATTACGTGACTACAGGATGTACAAAAAAGTTGATCGCTTATTAGAGTTATCAAAACAATACTGGACTTGATGTTAATTGCACTTTCCAGTGCTTTGATGTCGTTAAAGGTGTTGTCAAAGCCAATCAGATAACAGCTTTACTATTCCCTTGTGTCAGACAAGATATCCAAGAAACTTGTTTTTTCCTCGATAGAAACTGAACATTTTGGCAAAGAATGGAATGCCTATCATGCTGTATCACTCACCTGAATATGTTTGAAATAATTGGTATGAAGTAAAGATATAGCACTCCATGGTAGGTGCTGTAAGTACATATGAAACATATGCCCCTAGGGGGGGATCATACCCACCATTATACAAAATTGAGTCGTCTTGACCCAAGGATGCTCCAGACTACATTAGGATAAAATCCCTTAATCCCGGGAGATGGTCGAAGAAGGATTCTAAAGGTTTCACCTCCATTTCTCCTATTGGGCCCCGCCCTTCTGTCCCCTGGGAGACCACACCCACTGCTTATACAAAATTGAGTCCCCTTGGCCCAAGGATGCTCCAGACTAAATTAGGAAAAAATCCCTTAATCCCTAGGGTAGAAGAAGGATTTAAAAGGTTTTACCTCTATTTCCCCTATTGGGCCCGCCTCTCTACCTCCAGGGGGATCAGACACACCGTTTATACAAAATTGGTTCCCCTTCACCCAACGGTGCTTCATACCAAATTTGGACAAAATCCTGTCATTCCTACAGAAGTAGAAGGATTTTTAAGAATTTGCTGTTTCCCCTATTGGGCCCCTCCCTTCTGCCCCCACTCGCTGTTTATACGAAGTCCCTTTTGCCCAAGGATGCTCCAGACTAAATTAGAATAATATCCCTTAATCCCTATGGTAAAGGAAGGATTATAAAGGTTTTTACCTCTATTTCCCCTATTGGGCCCCGCCCCTAAGGACCCAGGGGGACCAGACCCATCGTTTATACAAAATTGGTTCCCCTTCACCCAAGGATGCTGCAGACCAAATATGGAACAAATACTTTCATTCCTACAGAAGAAGAAGGATTTTGAAGAATTTGTTATATATTCCCCTATTGGACTCAGCCCCCAGGGGGGCCAGACCCACCATTTATACAAAATTTGTTCGGACCAGGTGAGCTAATAAAACTTGCAAAGCGATTGAAGTGAGTAGTAGAGTTGTCAAACCAGTCAAGTGTTAAACTGGCCAATAGGTAAACTTCAAAATCAAACAATAAACACAACAAATACAGCCTATTTTTATTAAAAGTAGCACTCAAAATGTATTTTCACTATAGATATACTAATTAACACATCCGTTTACTTAAAGTAGATCATACTTTCAACAACCAAATAACAGAGGTATGTAACCTCAGTTCAAAATTATACAACAATGGTTTAAGTCAAATGTATAACAAGTTATAATTGCTAATTGATATCACACCTATTAACATTGCGGTTGAGAAACATATAATCTGGTTGACAACTCATTTATAATTTTATTGATGCTCACACCACTTGGGTTTTCTCATATACCGGTAATTCAAACACATTTTAAGATCAAGATAAACTTATGCACATTCCATCCATGAAATCTATTCCTACCTCATAACAATGGCATTTCACAACTTTAGATTGCCCAGGTGGCATATATTGATCTTTATTTTATTGCATACAAAACAACATTAGCAGCTCAGACTGTTCACAGTCTGCTCATCGGTGGATAATTGGTATAGGTGTAACCAGAGGCGTATAATACGTATTATACGTCTGGTGTAACAAGGTAAAAAGTACCTTTTGGGTAATAAAATATGCAACTACAAAAAAGTTATCTGCTATGGTAGAAATAGCTACATGGTAGATGTATTAACAATTGCATCAATTTTGTTGTTCACAAGAAACTATGATTATTAATATTAAATGTCGACACCTGGGTGTGGTCTTATTTACGACCCTATCTAAACAACTTAAATCTGCACCCATATGCCATGTTAAATATAAAGGACCAACTCTCACACCAACCTACATTTCCCAAATTTACCTTATGTTTGCCCTCTAATAGAATTGCTTATGACCCACACCAGCCTATTTGAACAAGTTAAAACTTCATTACCTTAGTACAGATGACTTGTGTGACCATTTAAATAAACGTTTACCTATACCAGCAGAAGTCACATATGCAATTAGTGAAATACTGTGGGAAAATAAATGTGATCCTTATCCTTTATCTATTCCTATATGATTTCAATTTTTGTAACTATCCCACAGCAATTAGCACTGTTTGCAAAATATTTGTTAAATTCTACTTTGCAGGGGTCGACACTAACACTAGTCCGCTAGTCCTGGACTACAGGGGTCGACACTAACACTAGTCAGCTAGTCCTGGACTACAGGGGTCGACACTAAAACTAGTCCGCTAGTCCTGGACTACAGGGGTCGACGCTAACCCTAGTCCGCTAGTCCTGGACTACAGGGGTCGACGCTAACACTAGTCCGCTAGTCCTGGACTACAGGGGTCGACGCTAACCCTAGTCCGCTAGTCCTGGACTACAGGGGTCGACGCTAACCCTAGTCCGCTAGTCCTGGACTACAGGGGTCGACACTAAAACTAGTCCGCTAGTCCTGGACTACAGGGGTCGACGCTAACCCTAGTCCGCTAGTCCTGGACTACAGGGGTCGACGCTAACCCTAGTCCGCTAGTCCTGGACTACAGGGGCCGACACTAACACTAGTCCGCTAGTCCTGGACTAGTAGATTTCAGCATGGACTAGTGAATCACCTAGCCTAACTGGTCCTTTGGACTTGTGAAATTTGATATAGAATAAGATTTTTTTTTTTTTTAAATTTAACATGCTGTAAATCGCCCTGTTTCCTGATAATCAGGAAATTTTGGACTAGTTACATTAGCGAAGGACTAGTAAATAATCTATTTAACTAGTCCTGTGGACTACCAAGCAAAAACAGTTAGTGTTTAACACTGCTTTGTTAAAAATATATTTTCAAATAATGCAAAGAATAATTCCTGTCCTGTAAAACTGAATTATCTTACAAACAGGAACTCTTCTGTCGTGATTCATTATAATGGAAAAGGTTAATTAAGAGGTATCTTATTGCTCTAACTCAAAATTACAAAGCAAAATACCTATCCTTTAGGAAAATGCCTAAGAAACGAAGTACCCACGGTTACACAATAGCCAGCTGCATGCTATGTCCAGACACTTTGTTCTGATCAAATATCAGGTCAATGGATTCCTTGGTAATAATCATACCTTTTATCACAGTCTACATAATCTCGTTTCCATCCGATCATTACAATAAGAATTAACCAGATTTCTTTATACAGATGTCCACCGTAACATGCCTCCAGCCTCTCACTTTATAACTCCTTCATGTTTGAGAAGCCACAGCTTCATCTTGTTCTTATTGCCACCACTGTAGTTGCCAACACCACCTCCCTCCGGCAAAACACGGTGACAGGGGATAATGAGCTGTATGGGATTAGCCTTCATGGCCGCGCCCACTGCACGACATGCCTTTATATTTCCACTTAAATCTGCTAGCTGGGTGTAGGAAACACTATGTCCAAACTTCACCTTCTCTGGCAGAGTCTTCCAGACCTTGGCTGTGAAAGATCCTGTAATTATTTAGTTTTGATTAGTTATTAACTAGAATTTTGTTTTTGTGAACAAAAACATAGGTCTAAGGGGAGCCAATAAAAAAGTCTGGTATAAAAAATTAACATAAGGCCATATCGCTTTATATAGTGGGGCACGAGACCCGAATTAAGATCTTGACATTCTTACTTACCCAAGATACATTAAAACTTTAGCAAGTTTGGTCAAAGTAGGTGAAACTAGAACACTGACAGGTCAGTAAGTGTCCCGTCTTGTGGCAATATATCCCCCATAATCATCAAGAAGCAATCTGCCCATATAGCTGAACTTGAGTCGACGTTTGACATTTGGACTTCAAAAAGAATCGCAAGGAAGCAAAACATACATTTTACATGTACTATGATGTGAGTCTTGTTTCCACCCATTTCCATATTTGCTGGGCTAACAGAAATGTAAATACCGGTGCAATACTCATTTGTTTTGTTTTATTTCACCTTAAATACTTCCCCCATCAAGGGCCAGGGTCAAAGTAAGAGATCCACTTTGTCTTTGACCTTTGGACCTAAATGACCTTGACCTTTAACCCAGTGACCCTGATCTTTGGTCAGTTGACTCATTCTTCAACTCCGACCAATTTTGCTTCATAATATCATAACAAAATGTTCATCAGTGAAAAATATAAAACTAGACCTTGACCTTAAACCTTTGGAACCTGTAACTNATAACATCAAACTGCTACCAAATACTGATAATGCTAACCTAAATTGAATTACCTTCAATGGCAATTAAACAAATGTTGGTCCAAAATGTGATTTATATATATAAACTATAGTCAAGTTTACCCCCTCCCCAGGGGTACACGTGAGACCCCAGGGTCATAAAATTCACAATTTTGGTAGAGAACCTTAAGACCCTTCCATCTATGAAGAGTGTTTGATTCTACAATATCTGGGTCTTGAGAAGAAGATTTTTGAAATTTCAGTCAATTCGACCCTTTTTGGCCCCGCTTCTCAGGCCCCTGGGGGCCGGGGACCAAACCATATCTGAGTCTTGAGAAGATTTTTGAATTTTCAGTCAATTTGACCCTTTTTGGCCCCACCCATCAGCCCCAGGGCTCAGTCAGGCTCATATGTGCATAACATCAAACTGCTACCAAATACTGATAATGCTAACCTAAATTGAATTACCTTCAATGGCAATTAAACAAATGTTGGTCCAAAATGTGATTTATATATATAAACTATAGTCAAGTTTACCCCCTCCCCAGGGGTACACGTGAGACCCCAGGGTCATAAAATTCACAATTTTGGTAGAGAACCTTAAGACCCTTCCATCTATGAAGAGTGTTTGATTCTACAATATCTGGGTCTTGAGAAGAAGATTTTTGAAATTTCAGTCAATTCGACCCTTTTTGGCCCCGCTTCTCAGGCCCCTGGGGGCCGGGGACCAAACCATATCTGAGTCTTGAGAAGATTTTTGAATTTTCAGTCAATTTGACCCTTTTTGGCCCCACCCATCAGCCCCAGGGCTCAGTCAGGCTCATATGTGCATAACATCAAACTGCTACCAAATACTGATAATGCTAACCTAAATTGAATTACCTTCAATGGCAATTAAACAAATGTTGGTCCAAAATGTGATTTATATATATAAACTATAGTCAAGTTTACCCCCTCCCCAGGGGTACACGTGAGACCCCAGGGTCATAAAATTCACAATTTTGGTAGAGAACCTTAAGACCCTTCCATCTATGAAGAGTGTTTGATTCTACAATATCTGGGTCTTGAGAAGAAGATTTTTGAAATTTCAGTCAATTCGACCCTTTTTGGCCCCGCTTCTCAGGCCCCTGGGGGCCGGGGACCAAACCATATCTGAGTCTTGAGAAGATTTTTGAATTTTCAGTCAATTTGACCCTTTTTGGCCCCACCCATCAGCCCCAGGGCTCAGTCAGGCTCATATGTGCATAACATCAAACTGCTACCAAATACTGATAATGCTAACCTAAATTGAATTACCTTCAATGGCAATTAAACAAATGTTGGTCCAAAATGTGATTTATATATATAAACTATAGTCAAGTTTACCCCCTCCCCAGGGGTACACGTGAGACCCCAGGGTCATAAAATTCACAATTTTGGTAGAGAACCTTAAGACCCTTCCATCTATGAAGAGTGTTTGATTCTACAATATCTGGGTCTTGAGAAGAAGATTTTTGAAATTTCAGTCAATTCGACCCTTTTTGGCCCCGCTTCTCAGGCCCCTGGGGGCCGGGGACCAAACCATATCTGAGTCTTGAGAAGATTTTTGAATTTTCAGTCAATTTGACCCTTTTTGGCCCCACCCATCAGCCCCAGGGCTCAGTCAGGCTCATATGTGCATAACATCAAACTGCTACCAAATACTGATAATGCTAACCTAAATTGAATTACCTTCAATGGCAATTAAACAAATGTTGGTCCAAAATGTGATTTATATATATAAACTATAGTCAAGTTTACCCCCTCCCCAGGGGTACACGTGAGACCCCAGGGTCATAAAATTCACAATTTTGGTAGAGAACCTTAAGACCCTTCCATCTATGAAGAGTGTTTGATTCTACAATATCTGGGTCTTGAGAAGAAGATTTTTGAAATTTCAGTCAATTCGACCCTTTTTGGCCCCGCTTCTCAGGCCCCTGGGGGCCGGGGACCAAACCGGCAACTATTTTTGTTGACCTTTGGCCATGGAAGGTTTCTGCAAAATTTCATTGAAATTGGTTGAGGGGTTATGGAGAAGAAGTCGAAAATGTAAATTGTTTACAGACGGACGATGGACGAAGGACGACGACGGACAAAAGGCGATTGCAATAGGTCACTTGAGACTTTTTCTCAGGTGACCTAAAAATGTTCATCAGTAAAAAGATACAATATCTGACCTTGAAATTGACCCAGTGACCTTGACCTTAAGTCAGTTGACTCCTTGTTAAATTCCAACCAACTTTGCTTCATAATGTCATATCAAAATGTTCATCAGTGAAATGATACAAAATTTGACCTCGATCTTTGACCCAGTGACCTTGACCTTTGGTCAACTGACTCCTTGTTAAATTCCGACCAACTTTGCTTCAAAGTGTCATAACAAAATGTTCATCAGTAAAAAGATACAATAATTGACCTTGACATTGACCACGTGACCTTGACCTTAAGTCAGCTGACTCCTTTTTAAATTCGGACCAACTTTGCTTCATAATGTCAAAACAAAATGTTCATCAGGGAAAAGATACAAAATGTAACCTTGACCTTTGACCCAATGACCTTGACCTTTGGTCAGTTGATACCTTGTTTGATTGTGATGGACGGACGGATGAATTAGTATATTAGCCCTAATAACATGGAAGTTTTGCTCTGGACAAACTTCGGTATTAAAAATAAACAAAGGGCCATAACCCTGTATATAGTGACGCACAACCTAATTCCAGTGCACTGCACACCTTCTGTGAGTGATGCAGGTATACTTCAAGTTTGATTATGATATCTTTAATGAGACAAGATTTTACTGAAACTGTGCACTTATTTGACCTTTGACCTTAAGGTGAAGGTCACAGTGACCTAATTCCAGTGCACTGCACACCTCCTGTGGGTGATGCATACATACCTAAAGTTTCATCAAGATATCTTTAACAGTTTAGAAGTTATGGCCCGGACAAGTCAGATTAGAAGAACCAGAAGAAGAACCAGTACCAATACAATATAACATGGAGCACCTGCAGGTTTTGGGAAGATTAAGCCTGCCGTACGTATCCCACTCCAGGATATTGTTAGAAATATAGCACAATGTATTGCAATGTGTCCCCAAGCAGCCCTAATTATTGACAGATGAACAAAAAATAACAAATATATAATCATCCAGGAATAAGTGCAAACAACACGGCAAATCTATTCCAAACTCGGAATTCATTGGAGCAACATTTAAATATAATTATAATCATTTAGTTTCTTAGATTTTTTTTACATGTCCCTAATTTTACCTCTATTTCACCACTTAAAGGCAACAACTTTCTTTCCAAAATCTTAATCTCCATCACCTATGGATCCTACCTTAAGGTAGCCGTACCCAAATCGGATCAGTACCCAAATCGGATCACTTTTTGCAAAAATATTTATAAATAAATAAATGTGTCAACAAATCAGTTTATATAAAAATGATGTAGTCTTAGAATAGATAGCCATGCACCATTTTTTGTCTACAGATGATTAGTTTTTATGTTCAAATATCACAAGAAAATGTAATTCAAACTCAAATGTCAGTGTTTTGATTACGGTTTTAAACAAGAGGCCCAATGGGCCTGCATCGCTCACCTGGTATAAATCTCACACTTGTAACCTTAAAAGTGATCTAAAATAAAGCTACAGGCAAAATATCAGTATTTATGATTAAAATTCATTCAAAAGACCCGTTATTTTTTTATAAAACATTTCACCCCTGTGATTGAAAGTCGAACAAATTTTATAGCCTTTCATCTCAGGATGCAATTTGCAAAGTATCAACATCCTGGGACCCATGGTTATTCAGAAGAGGTCGTTTAAAGATTTTAAACAAATTTGACCCCTGTGACCTTGAATATAAGTCAAAGTCATTCACTTTAACAAACATAGTAGTCCTTGATCCCAGCATGCTACTGACTAAATATCAACATCCTGAGCCTTTTGATTATTCAGAACAAGTTGTTTAAATATTTTGAACATATTTGCTCCTTGTGACCTTGAATATGATTCAAGGTCATACATTTGAACATCCTTTGTAGCCCTTCATCTCAGCATGCTATTGGCCAAATATCATCACCCTGGGCATTTTGGTTATTGAGAAGAAGTTGTTTAAAGTTTTTAACATATTTCACCCCTGTGACCTTGAATATGGGTGAAGGTCATTCATTTGAACAAAATTTGTAGCCCTTCATCTCAGCGTGCTACTGGCCAAATATCATCACCCTGGGCAGTTTGGTTATCGATAAGAAGTTGTTTTAAGTTTTTAACATATTTGACCCCTGTGACTTTGAATATAGGTGAAGGTCATTCATTTGAACAAACTTTGTAGCCCTTCATCTCAGCATGCTACTGGCCAAATATCATCACCCTGGGCATTTTGGTTATTCAGAAGAAGTTGTTTAAAGGTTTTTTAAGACAATTGACCCCTGTGACCTTGAATATAATTGAAGGTCATTCATTTGAACAAACTTGGTAGCCCTTCACCCAAGCATGCTACTGGCCAAATATCATCTCCTTGGGCAGTTTGGTTATCAAGAAGAAGATGTTAAAAGTTTTTAACATATTTGACCCCTGTGACTTGAAAATGGGTAAAGGCCATTAATTTTAACAAACTTTGTAGCCCTTCATCCCAGTTTGCTTCTGGCCAAATATCGACACCCTAGGCCTTTCGATTATTAAGAAGAAGTCGTTTAAAGTAAAATATTGACACTGGACGGACGGACGGACGACGCGCCACGGCATAAGCTCACTTGGCACTTCGTGCCAGGTGAGCTAAAAATGGCGCGTGTGACTATGCATTCTGTTTTGGACTATAGGAATAAATTCACACCATGAAATTATTTTTTGTCATATAAATTCTTAATGTCATCATAAAATTTTAATATGCTGACAAAAAATATTCATTTGAAGCGTAAGATACTGCAAAATTCAGGTCTTGATGCGATTTGGGTCCCGTCATTCGTTTGTAAGAACACCCATCGATAGTTTTCCTTTGATACATCCATAAACGGATATAATTCCTCCACAGATTTTTCAATGATTTAATAAAATGATGGTTTGGTGATCCAATTTGGGTACTGTCACCTTTACATTGCATGCGGCTTCCCTCAATTGGCCTTTTTGCTGGTTATAAGTTACAAAACAGTTGGCAGGTGTGCAATTTTGTGGACAGTTTGTGACTAGTTGGAAGACGGAAGAAGTTTTGGGTGGTAGGTAGTTGCTATTTTATCCATTAGTATTTGAGAAATGTGAAAAACCATACCTTGCCAAAAACATCTAGATTGTGCGCACCTTTGACACAGGAATGTACTAATTTCTGACGGGTCCTATTAAAACATTGGCTATTGATGAACTGTATCAAACAAATATTTTATAAATGAAAAAACAATTCATCCAAACTTTCAAAAGGACAAACAGCACTGACCTTCCTTGAACACAGATGCACATATTGTGGGCGACACCTGGCACTTGTGTTGTCCTTTGAAGTAGTGTCTTAGCCAGTCCACGCCCAGTAGGAGAGGTTTGTAGGTGTAACCGTTGTCCTGATACTTCTGGGACGTCACCATCACCTCAATACTGCAACAGGTGTAAATATTGTAAAAAAACACACACCTTACACTGTATTTCAAATATGTAAATTTAACAGTCAAAAAGTTACTATGTAGTACTGTACAAGGATGCAAGAGCTATTCCATTAAAACAAAGACACACAGGTGAATGCACCTTCAAAATTGGTAAATGATACAGTATGCCAAAATCAACTTGCACTGTATCATACAGCTACTAAACACCTCACCCTGGAATGTAGAATTATCATTTTAAGAGGCCCACTCACCTAATATTCAGTGCTATGACTTTCAAAGTATGCCAGATTATTTTATTCAAACAGACTTGATACTTCAGCATGCAATAGGCTAAATATCATGACTACATACCTCTTGGTTATTCAGAAGAAGTCCTTAATAGGTTTAATTATAATAGGAAATAAATACTTGCAACCATTCCTTATCAGTGAAAAAAAGATGCCACTAGTGGAGTCAACTTTACCAAGACAGGAACACTGTCACGTTCACTTGACAATCACATAAGTTTATTTCAAAATACAAAACAATACCACATGATTCAAAAATTGGAGACTTTTGCTGCAAATGATTTTGAACATTGGTATCTCCTATAATATGACCTGGAACATAAGTGGTATTTAACTATTTTCTATTGTAATATATGAATGCGAACATAAGGGATATCTTTGCATGGCTGACATGGAACACATGCGATTTTATTTTCTATGTCTATGGGTGTATATTTTAAAAAAAATAGGCCTTTTTTAAGTATTGTATTCCAACTGAATTCTGAAACTGCCACTGTAATTAACACCATATTACTGTCAGTATTACCATTGTAAATTTGTTATATATACACCAGTACACTCGGCATTGGTAATATACAAGTTTAATAATACAGTATAACCTGTCTAAACAAGCCCCAGTCTAAACTGGCTGTGATTATTAGTCCCGGCATATTCCCTACATAACCATAGTAGCTAAACCCTGTATAAACCGGACCCTGTCCATTCCGAAAACTAGCGTTGTTTCACAAAAGTTTGCATAGTAATTCATGTAAAAACAACCTGTTCATTCCGGTCCTGATATTTCTCTCGGCTGGCTACAATCTAAAGCAAACACATTCTAAACAAATAAGCGGTATCCAATGTTGGGTCACCCTTCATTTTCTGTATATTTTGTAAATCATTAAACGTTGCAATTGATTCATTTCTCTGTTGTTTATGTATTGACACACTTGTATACAGATCGTATGCAAGACACTACATTTTTGTATTTTCAAAAAATGACATGCCGACCCTGTATAAACCGGACACACCTGTGTAAACCAGAAAAATAGTTTGGTCCCGTTGACATCTGGTTTAGACAGGTTATACTGTACTAAAACTGTCCCGATAAAGGCAGACTAAACAAAAATTGTAGGAAAAATTCTTTCAAGACCGTTTTTAAACAAAAGGGGCAAGCACAGCTGAATCAACGGCAATTTGATTCTTGCCTACTCATTATTTTATACGTTTATGTACATATGCTCCACTGGTTATTTGTCTGATGATCAAAGTGTCAAGAGTACATATGGTAGTCATTGAAACGGTTAACGTCACACAAGTATTTACTGGTTGTGCTATATGAACTTTTATTCACCCTGAAAAAAAACGCTTAGAAATACATGTACATTCTACCACAGTTTAAGACGTGTTCAAATGATCACTCCTAATTATCATACCAACAATAAATCAGGCCACATAGGAATTTGAGGTGATAAGTTTGATATCCAAAAATCACACAACTATGTTTACAGCTCTATGCTCATATTTTCTACTTCAATTATGCTACACACAGAGTTCAACGCTTTTCGTCACCTTTTGTCAGGTGTAAAATATTCATCAGTTTCATCTGTCTGTGACATGTAGTGGAGTCCACGAGGACAGCTCACAAGTTCCATAGTGCCAACAGGTGAGCTCACATGGTAGGTGTTGGTAGGACCATGGTGACAGGATGACCCAACACATCTCTGACGTTTGGACTTTACAGACATTTTATATCTAACAGCTGGAATTCTACAAGAAAAACATGAATTACTAAATATCAAGCATCAGTTTATTTCTTGTTTTAGTACCCCCGTTGCATTGATAATTCTGATATGTAAACCTCATTTACCCCATTTTTGTTTTATTATACTTAGTGATAAATTTGCAAGGGATCCCAATTTTTCTTACATATTTGTTATGTATTTTAATCACTGTCATTAATGCATTCAACTGAATTAGGGCAATCATATCATATCTCCTGTAAAACTGGGCAGCAACATATAGGGAAAAGACAATAGAGGCCAGCTGGCTCCTATAACACTTGGAATAGAGAGTAGGGCTGGCTGGCTCCTATAACACTGGGAATAGCTAGAGAGTAGGGCTGGCTCCTATAACACTGGGAATAGAGAGTAGGGCCGACTCCTATAACACTGGGAATAGAGAGTAGGGCCGGCTCCTATAACACTGGGAATAGAGTGTAAGGCTGGCTGGCTGGTTGGCTCCTATAACACTGGGAATAGAGAGTAGGGCCGACTCCTATAACACTGGGAATAGAGAGTAGGGCCGACTCCTATAACACTGGGAATAGAGAGTAGGGCCGGCTCCTTTAACACTTGGAATAAAGAATAGGGCTGGTTGGCTGGCTGGCTGGCTGGCTGGCTGGCTGGCTGGCTCCTATAACACTGGGAATAGAGAGTAGGGCCGGCTCCTTTAACACTTGGAATAGAGAATAGGGCTGGCTGGCTGGCTGGCTGGCTGGCTGGCTCCTATAACACTGGGAATAGAGAGTAGGACCGGCTCCTATAACAGTGGGAATAGAGAGTAGACTGGGAATAGAGATTAGGGCTGGCTGGCTGGCTGGCTGGCTGGCTGGCTACTATAACATAGGAAATAGACAGTAGGTACCAGTTGGATCCTATAACATAGGAAATAGGCAGTAGGGACCAGCTGGCTAATAGAACATCTAGGAAATAGGCAGTAGGAGCCAACTGGCTAATAGAACATCTAGGAAATAGGCAGTAGGGACCAGCTAGCTAATAGAACATCTAGGAAATAGGCAGCAGGGACCAGCTAGCTAATAGAACATCTAGGAAATAGGCAGGAGGGACCAGCTAGCTAATAGAACATCTAGGAAATAGGCAGTAGGGGCAAAATGGCTAATGGAACATAGGAAATAGACTGCAGGGGCAAACTGGCTCCTATAACAAAGAATAGGCAGTAGGGACCAGCTAGCTAATAGAACATCTAGGAAATAGGCAATAGGGGCAAAATGGCTAATGGAACATAGGAAATAGGCAGTAGGTGCCAGTTGGATTCTATAACAGGATATAGGCAGTAGGAGCCAGCTGATTCGTGTTACATAGGAAATAGACAGTACCGGCCAGCTGGCTCATGTAACAGAGAATAGACAGTCAGTGTCTGTTGGATCCTATAACATAGAAAATAGACCGAAGGGGCCAACTGGCTCCTATACCATAGGGAATAGGCAGTAGGGGCCAGCTGGCATATGTAGGGGTTAATTGGCTCATGTAACATAGGACATAGGAAATATGCAGTAGGGACCAACTGGCCCATGTAACTGTCAACATAGGGAATGGACAGCAGGGGCCAACTACCTCCTATAATATGGAAAAAAAACAAAGGCAGTTCGGGCCAGTTGGATCCGATACCATAGGAAATAGGCAGTAGGGGCCAGCTGGCATATGTAGGGGTTAGTTGGCTCATGTAGCATAGGACATATGCAGTAGGGACCAACTTTCTCATGTAACATAGGAAATATGCAGTAGGGGCCAGCTGGTTCCCGTAACTGTCAACATAGGGAACAGACAACAGGGGCCAGCTACCTCCTATATTATGGAACAAGAGGCCCAGAGGGCCTGTATCACTCACCTGTTTCTTTTGTTACATGAAACTGACATATAGGTAACTTCAGACCAAATTTGGTAACTAGAACACAAGATATTTTAACATCTCTTAAATGCTTCTCAAGATATTGTTGTTTGAAATTTGGAATTTTAAATTGTAATTTTACGGCTTTTAACCCACGTTGACCTTTGACTCTGGCTAGCACTTAAAGTTGACCTTTAACCTCATTACTGTGAGTAAGAAACAGATTCGCACCGCTGGTCTACATAACATACTTAAGTATTATGACTTTAGTCCAAATGGTTCTTAGGATATTGTTGTTTGAAGTTTTTAACATATTTGAGCCCTGTGACCTTGAAAGTAAGTCAAGGTTATTTCAATGAGGAAAGTTTACAGCACTCCATCCTAGGTACCTACTGGCCAAATATCATGACCCTAGGTCCTCCAGTTCTTCAGAAGAAGTCGTTTAAAAGAAAAAGTTAACGGCGGACAACGAACGACAGAAGACGGACGTCGCAGTACGGCATAACTAAACAAGAGGCCCAACGGGCCCGAATCGCTCACCTGGTATAAATCTCACATATATTGACCACTGTGACCTTGAATATGGGCGAAGGTCAAGCATTTGAACAAACTTGGTAGCCCTTAGTCCCAGCATGTTAATGGCCAAATATCATCACCCTTGGCCTTTTGATTATTAAGTAGAAGTCATTCAAAGGTTTTAAACATATTTGACCCCTGTGAACTTGAATATATGTCAAGGTCATTTATTTGAACAAACTTGGTAGCCCTTTTTCCCAGCATTTTACTGGCCAAATTAAAGCACCCTAAGCCTCTCATTTATTCATAAGTTGTTTAAATGTTTTAAACATATTTGACCCCTGTGACCTTAAATATAAGTCAAGGTCATGTATTTGAACAAAATTGGTAGCCCTTCATCCCAGCATGTTACTGGCCAAATATCATCACCCTAGGCCTCTTGGTTATTCAGAAGAAGTTGTTTCAAGGGCCAAATGAGCTAATAAGTACTGGGTCATGTATCTGTTTTACTGCCTATGACCTGTTGGGAAAGAACCCTTCTGTTTTCCAAACTGATGAATGGTAAACAGAACCCTTTCGGTTTATTATCCTACACATGTTACTCTTTTGAGAAAAGATAACAAAATGCTCGCAATGCAAAGTTCATTTTCCACTTTTACTGTATGTATTGGCGCATGTGAGTGAGAATGTCTTGTGTACTTCAACGGCGAGTCTCACACACAGGTGCTGGACACACACATAATATTTACCTTCGTATGTCATTGCCATTTAATATAACCCTCCCAAATTCAGTTGGCATTCCTAGGCTATGAACGACCGATTGCTGGCGTCATCATTATTAATTTAGTATGATGACATCCTAGTTACGTTGGATACCACTGACCCTCCCCGGGCGATTGCTGTTCTATATTCATTTTAAGTCATTGAATGATACATTGAATTTGTCTTTGTCCAGTTGGCATTCATATTGCCTATGAACGCCAAATGAAAGCAGTTCAATGTGAATTAGCGTGTCTAGCACCTTTGTCCCACAGGCACAGCGATATTCCGATGCCATAAAAGCATGCCACCGTGTGTACAGTAATTACGTATTACAGTAATATATAGTCCCCTTGCTGCGGTTCAAATTCTTTAATCGATATATCAAACAAACCTCCAAAAACGGAAGATACTGCTGGACGAAGTAGGCAAACAAACCGGTGCTTTCGTTCCCCTCAGCATGCACGACACTATTGTTGACACACGTTCCCGCGGTTTTCTTGTGGATAAGAGTTGTCGTTCATTGATTTTTGACAAAATCTAATATATTCATGACGGACTAAAATGTCCGGTTTTATAAAAAGAATCCATATAAAAAAAAATGTATATAATTATATACATGTTCATCAAAACATATAAGTGTAACAGTTTCATTTTAATTATTTGGAATAATGACAAAGTAAACCGAAAGCTTTAAGTAAAGTATTGATCATTGCAAATAACTGTATATATATGTCAACTTTCAAATATAATTATTTCTTTTTGGAAATGTTCTTCAATCAGGTCTTTATCAAATGTGCATGACAAAACAACTAACTATCTCCTTTCATGTATGTATTTATCTATTTTGATGGGGGCGAAGATAGTCTATCCAGAGACGTAATATATATACGTCTCAGGTCTTTCCCTGACCCATCATTATTTTTAACATGAGATATACCGATATACTAGTTGTCAGTTATTTCAGAGAAGTATACAGATAGCGCTCAGATTCTTTTTGGATTACATTACTAAAGAATTATATTCTACTGTTTTTAGAGAGGCTCGGAATAAGGGAAATATGACCAGGGTAAATCAAGCGTGTGCTGGGTACATCATCTTATATTTCCCCGCCATATGATCAGTAGAATTAGACCGTATCAGGCAGTCTGTCATATAGATGAGGTAATATAGTTAAGCCAATCTAATTAGATTGATAGTTAAGCACATTTTACGGGGAAATGTGACAGGCCTCATTACTCTTTATCCTTGATAATTGACATTCATTTGCACGTCAGTTACCCTTCCATGATAGTTTTACTCATAAGTATATTTATAGTAAATAGCGGTTAATAGTTTTAACTATTTTGTTCTCTATAAAGTAAATAGTATATATGCGTTGGAACTTGACTAAGTCGATCGGCGGCGACCAGGTAGCTCAACTGGTAGAGCGTCCGTCTGGAATTCGGAGGGTCACGGGTTCGAATCCCGGTATGGCGGTGCATTTTCCCGATCCTATTAGATTGATGTCTCTGACCAACCCTTCTTTCAAGCTGGGTGAATGCTTGGCAAGGAGATACCCGAACCTGGGTTGTAAATAGTTTTGTCTTCGGGGCATAGACTTAGAAAAAAAACGGGAGGAGAAATCACGGTAGCGAAACTGAAGCTGATCGCCGGGAGGCAATCAGGCAGTTCAATTGGTATAGTATCCGAGTAGTTTCGGAAGGTCTCGGGTTTGAATCCAAGTCTGGCCGAGGATTTCTCCTCTCCTGTTAGATATATATACATAAAGACTGTCTCGCACTATCCTTTCAAATGCCGCCCCCACCTCAACTACAGATAGCATGGTAACATAAGAGTGAAACGTTTGCTATTTTATCAGCATATACTATTTGATCCAGCTGTAACTGTTTTATAGTTGTTTAGTGTTTGTTACATGGTAAAGGATGTAGATTGTCTTTCAAAATTTGACAAATGTCTTTGTCCGTATTTTCGCTATTACTTCTTTGCTTAATCATATCTGTAACTGTCTCGGTGATATCAAAATATATTGCATCAGCATTACTAATGAAATTCAAATATTTGATAACTCTTCTTGCGATACATACATGTACAATATTTCTTTGTCTTATACCATATATTTTCACCATAAACATTTGCAATATGCTTTAATAAATTCAATTTTATAAAAGAAACACAATTGTCACATTTTTGTGAACACAGGCTTAGTCGGTTTCACAAAATTCTCAAAGGTGCAGTCACTTGTGTGTGTTTTTTACTCATGTTGAAACAGAAGCCTGGTAACGTCACCCTACCACAATTGGTACACTACCCAAATTGGTACACGGTCAGAAAATTATTCGAATAATACTTTAAAATTAAATTTGAGCATTTTCCTTTGACAGTGTAACAAAGGATATATTTATCAGCATTTCCAGCGAATAGTTTTGTTTTCATGAACATTTTAAGAGTAAACAATGTCTTCAGAGTAAACATAAAAAAAACCCAGTAAAAACGACGTACGTCGACGAAAATTTGGAGGATTTTGAAGGTTAAATATAAGCATGTCAAAATGCTGATTTCTGGTCCTTATAACTGGATAATATAAAAGTGTATATTCCGTCTTTGCGTATTTCAGAGTTATCTTCTCTTGGGAGCAGGTATTGATTGTTACGTCACTTGTTTGTGAGAGTAACGTCATCAATTTTTGAGAAAAAGACGTAATTTTCTCACACAAACCAATGACGTAACAATCAATACCTGCCCCCAAGAGAAGATAACTCTGCAATACGCAAAGACGGAATATACAATTGTAGTTCAGTATGGTATTTATAAAAGCAATACGTTTTGTTGCAATCGGCACATCAACTAGTAGAAATAAAAACAAGTTTCATAGACTGTGATATAGTGTACCAATTGGGGTACTAATTACGGCCGAAAAACGGACGAAATCTCACTGCGAGTTTAGCGTTCTATTTTCAAAAACAAATAACGTAGAATTAAATCTTTTTCTGAAAATGAACCACCATAGGTAGTCTTTGTCAAGAATCAAGAAACATTCCAGATAAAAGATCTGAATTTTTGAGTATCACTGAAAAACTGTCGAAATTGTACCAATTGTGGCAGCGTAGATTTATAGACTGTTTCAACATGAGTAAAAAACAATCAAGTGATTTCCAATGTTTTGGTCCCTAACATCACCGATGAGAAGGACGAAACTTTGGTCCCTAACATCACCGATGAGAAGGACGAAACAGCTGTATGATGTTTTGGTCCCTAACATCACCGATGAGAAGGACGAAACAGCTGCGGTATGATGTTTTGTCGGGTCCCTAACATCACCGATGAGAACGACGAAACAGCTGTATGATGTTTTGGCCCCTAACATCACCGATGAGAAGGACGAAACTTTGGTCCCTAACATCACCGATGAGAAGGACGAAACAGCTGTATGATGTTTTGGCCCCTAACATCCCCGATGAGAAGGACGAAACAGCTGTATGATGTTTTGGTCCCTAACATCACCGATGAGAAGGATGAAACAACTGTATGATGGAGTGAAGTGCACTTTTGACATACCATATCTACTTTTAAATGGTACATATATATATATATATCACCTCCTAAGTGGCACAGTTGCGTTCGTGAATATTGTATAGGGGAGATAACTCATGAATTTTTATTTCAAGTTCAGATTTGGCGCGTCTGAAATCACCGTAGGGACATTGTATTATTCAGGTGTTTTTTTAACATGAACGTTTCACCTTGTATCATCTAATTGCCGTTTTAAAGATAAATTCAAACTATAATGCAGGTTTCCGGATTTTTCCCCTTCTCCGTTAGCCTTTCTTATATTACATTGTAAAAGAAAAAATCAAAAATGGCGGACAGGAAGTCAAACTTAAAAGAAAAACAATGTCAAAACTTCTTAAATATTGATCTTCGATATCCGCATATGGTCACAGAATGACCGAAAGTATTCCAGGTGGTAGACAAAGATCATCATCCGTCGGTAATGTGTTTGAAGAAGAGTACAATGACGATGGATTTGGTCCACTTTCAGACCACCATCGTAAGTTTAGTCAAAGTCTGCATCTGGATAGTGTAAAAGCGAAAAACGGTACAGAACGTATTGAACAAACTCGTGAGGATCCAGATAACTTTTCTACGCTACCCACAAAGACAAAACGTCGTACAAGGCCTTCTTTCAAGTCCGTAAAAAATTTGATGGGCAGGCTTCTGAATAATTCTAATTCATGGTCATCAAATCGACGGGAAGATGACAACCATATTGGGGCAAAAGGGGGGATGACGCAGAGTGCGAGACAGCGGGATGACCGGTCTCCCGAAAGGCCATATACAGAATCAACCTCGCGCCCCCTCGTTACCAAATCGCAGAAACCGCCGGTCCTGTCGTCTTTTGGTGACGAAACACCTGGCACGATTGGGATACACAATCATGGCAACACTTGTTTTATGAATGCAATTCTTCAGTGTTTAAACAGTACAGACTGCTTTGTTGAATACTTCATCAGACAATTACACAAAGATGATCAAAAAGCATCTTCGAGAAGACTTGGATTTCGTAATGTACACAATGTAACCGAACAACTTGGAGTTCTGCTTAACAGTCTATGGACTAATAGATATCACAGTGAAGTGTCGGATAATTTCAAAACAGTTGTTGGGAAATTCAACAGCCAATATAAAGGGACATCACAGCATGATGCACAGGAATTCCTTCTCTGGTTGTTAGATAGAATAAATGAAGAATTCAATGCAAACAACAAGAACAAAATCAAACAGGTATCCACTCACAACTTTTTTTGTGTGGTTGTCTTTGTGTATGCAAAATCATTTACTTGGATTGAAATATATGTATATCTTAACCATGTACTATAATAACTGTACAGCAGTTGGCTTCGGGGGCATACACATGTACATGTACAGGGCTAGATAATAAAGGTAGCCCAATAGTCTGAGACCATGCAGCTTGCTAATGCTTATCTTTTTGAATAATATTGGGTTAGTGGAATGTGCACATGGATTAAAGTAAAATGCATTGGAAACCACTACCCCAAATAATAAGTGGTGTTCAAAATTCATTTCTAGCCTTGATACAATTCCAGACATCTGGGATTTGTAGATTTTATGTTAATTTATGCTAGTAAAAATTTCACTATAGCTATTTACTATGAAAATAAAGGTCAGCTAGGAATTGTTTCAACATCATACAGGTAATAAGTACTCTAAATATGAAATTATGCTTAACATCCCTGTTTTGTTGTTATTTTCCTTATGGAAGTAAAATAGATTTTACTTTAATTTAGAAAATAATTTTCATATTGTTAGCAGTGTGTAATTTGTAGAATTTCTTATAAGCAACGATATTGCAAGGTCAACATTGCATTAAAGATTTATTATAGGGTCAACAGGGTAACTGGAAAAGAATTGTTCACTACCTTGGGGTGAGATAGGGTATCTCAACCATCAGGGAGAGATTCTTATATGTTGCCAAACACTGGGCAAGTGTAGATCTACGTTCGGAAATTTAACTCAAGAATTTGAATCTTCCCCTCTGCTTTAGATCTCCCTATCTCAACCCCAAAAAGAATTGAAAGATTGAATTAATAATATACCATTACTAAGCAAAGTATAATCAATGTATTTTTGAAAATAAAAATTAGATGGGGGGGGAAAAATCTTTTTTTTCTTCGTCATGAAATTGTGATGAAATCATATTGTGCTTTATCTTAATTGGTGATATTATTATACATTAGTTATATATTAGAAATGTATGTGGTGATGTTATTATACTGCATAGAGAGAGCCACCAGAAGAGGTACAGTATAATGATAAATGATTCTAGTTTAATATATGCTATCATATTAAACAAAACTTTCAATATATAGTATATGTTTACATGCATTTTTATATAATTTTTAAATTGGATATCCAATCATATTTTTAATTGATAATTTTTCTACTGTTATAAGCTGCAGTCTAGGAAGAAGCAGAGTGATGAGGAAGCAGCTGAAGAAGTCTTATCAGCCAACAATGGCTGCCCACTGTATAATCTGTTTCAAGCTCTGTACCGCTCGTCACTGCAGTGTCCAAACTGTGGCAAGCAGAGCAACACATTTGAGAACTACCTATGTCTGTCCCTACCACTTCCTAACAAAGTCATGCGTCCTTTCTACATAATTGTGGTGGAGACCGTGGAAGAAAACAAACCACCTAAGCAGACCAAAATAGGGCTGCGTCTCAATGCATACGGCTATGTGAAAGATCTGCGTCAAGAAATTTCAAAGTGGACTCAAATAAAGGAGAAATATGTATGTACACTCATAAGAATCAATAGGGTATTCAAATCAGACAGATCAACTATGAAAAAAAGTGAAGGGATTGAATTAGCCTTGAATATAGAATATGAACGATTTTATAATTGAGAGCTGCCTACCGTGTATATGTTTATATTATCAACCAACTTCTATAGGTTTTATTTCCAGCCTGAAGTTGTTTTTGTTTTCATAATTTCACAATTTGAAATATAAATCCTTTTGCAGCATTCTGTCATACCAACTGTATGGATTAGTGACTGACATGTGGAGCTGTTATATGTTAAGGTTATTGGAAATTTTCAGTATTTGGTATGAAAAGTTTTGCTTGTAGAATTTTTAGCTCACCTGCCCTCGTCCGTCCGTCGTCGTCCTCCAACTTTTCCTTTAAACAACTTCTAAAGAACGGACAGGCCAAAAGTCATGATATTTGGCTGAAAGCTTCATTGGTAGAAGCCAGACAAAGTTTGAGAACGAAAATGACCTTGACCTACTTTCAAGGTCACAGGGGTCAAATGTGGCAAACACCTCAAACGACTTCTTCTGAAGAACTAAATTGCTGAATTGCTGATGTAGCATAGTTGAAAACTAGTTCAAGCTTGTTGTGATGCATCATTGTTATTTCATTCCTCGCGACTTACTTTTCCGGTTGCGCACTTATTATTTCTTTAATCATAGCAGTGTAGCAATGTCTTTAGTAATAATGTGATTTAAAATTTTAAAAACAATATCACTCATTTGTTCCCATACGGGTAGAGAAAAAGGGTTGAGCCCTTCCATTGTAAAGTTTGCATAAAAGAAAGGTATAGAATCGTCATACTTGGCTGGTTGCTACCTGGGATAGAGCCAGACAAAGTTTGAGAATGAAAATGTCCTTGGCCTACTTTCAAGGTCACAGGGGTCAAATGTGTCAAACACTTCAAAAGACTTCTTTTGAAGTACTGAAAGGTATATAATCTTCATATTTGGCTGGTTGCTTCCTGGGATAGAGCTCGTCAAAGTTTGTGAATGAAAATAACCTTGATCTACTTTCAAGGTCACAGCGGTCAAATATGTCAAACGCTTCAAACAACTTCTTCTGAAAAATTAAAAAGTATAGAATCTTCATATTTGGCTGGTTGCTTCCTAGGATAGAGTCGGACCAAGTTTGAGAATGATAATGACCTTGGTTTACTTGCTTAAATACAGGTGAGCGATACAAATCTGCCTGCATGCTGCTACTTTTAAATGTGAAATTGTTCACCCCTGATTCTAGAGAAAATATACAAGCATAAACAAAGGGAACATACAAAACTTAATTAATCATATTCAATCAATTGTGATTTTGCAGTTGGTGTTATGTCAGATCTATGACAATGGGTTCAGAATCCCGTACAGAGATGACCAGCCATTGACAGACATTCCAGAGTCGGAGAATATCTATGCTGTGGAAATGGTGTGTACTGTTGGTTCCCCCATGGTCGAGGGACAACAGCAGTTTGAGCAGTCTTATGTTTCAGTATTACTTATACACACAGAGCGGGAGTCAAATCCTACCAAGTAGTAAGTCTTTATTCTACCCACAGATTTTTGGCGAGTTACACTGAAAAAATTATTATATTTCTCAAAAGTCTTCATTGATATTATAGAGAAGTTCTAAATTGACAACAAAGACCAGAATATCAAAAATCAATCAGCTTGAACACTAACCATACCTTGAACATGTTTAAGGGTGTGTAATTGAAGTTAGAGAGGGTGGCATAAGACTAAAAAATTATCCTCCCTGCTGAGGTTTAGTTGACCTTCTGTACAGTCGGGATGTTTTATTCGTGTTATACATTGATTCTGGTTGAGCAAGATTACTTTCCTTGGTGTTCACCTGATCATAAATGCAACTTTAGTAAGGTGTTGATGGTCCTTTTTATACCACCTGCATCGAAGTTAGGGGGGGGGGGGGTATACTGGAATCAGGTTGTCTGTCCATCTGTTAACGCAATGTAGTACTGTGTACTCCTCCTAAACTACTGGATGGATTTCAATGAAATTTGCTAATATCACTCCTTGTAGCTTGGAAATGTGTGTAAAGTACTTTTCATTGGGTTATCATCCCTTTTCACAAAGTTATGGCACTTGGTTTATAAACCTCTAGACCATGTCATTATATAGAAAACACAACAACTTTCTTTTATTTTTTATTCAATTCCTTCCAAATAAGGTATGGTAATACTAGAAGCAATAATGTTTAACATTTATAACAGGTTTTTTGTCAGGTTTCAACTTTCCGTGTTTTAAAAGGTCAAAGGTCACAAATGAATTATATCACTGAAATGGCTAAATATCTCGGAAACTGAAGGTATTTTGTATACACATATACATTAAACAATTGTAGGCAATTATGCCATCTACTCTACTAATAGCTTCCGAGGTCGTTGGTTCAGATGTCAAAGGTCACAAATTAATTATGGTACCGAATCGAAATGGCTTACTATCTCGGAAACAGTAGGTATAAGAGTACAAGTATATTAGCCAATTATTAGTGTTGGGTAATCAGTTGAAAAAGCCAATCGATCATGGGTTAGAATCAGATAACCTGCGTTAACTGATTTTCCGATTATAATCAGTGGGTTTTTTTAACCAGGAAGAAATAAAATAGAACACTACATGACTTGAAGTTTCATTCCTTCTTAATAATTGTGAATGTTATTTACTTATTTCTCAGTTTATTAACCAAGAAACATCATTCATTCATTTGAATGTTGATTACAATTTCAGTGTTTGCCAAAATTTTAAAATTATTGCAGGACATTAGGGCAGGTAAAAAACTTGTTACCAGACAAAATAAACAAAAATGTCAGAAAAAATATATAAAAGGAACTTCTGTTGAAACAACAATTTTAGTTAATTTGTTCACATTTTGTAAATAATTCATCCATTCATGCAGTCTCTTATAAACGAAAACAGATTTATCCCAGGATACTGTTTCAGACATCATTCCTTCCTAGTTCCTTTTCAGAAAATATTTTAAGGGTTTAATTTTAGTAAATGCAATAATATGATAGGGATTATTTATTTTTAAATTGCAGTGATGGTTATTTCATTTATTAGCTCACCTGGCACGAAGTGGCAAGTGAGCTTATGCCGTGGCGTGGCGTCCGTCGTCCGGCCGGCCGTCCGGCCGTCCTCGTCCGTCAACTTTTCCTTTAAACAACTTCTTCTGAAGAACAGACAGGCCTAGAGTCATGATATTTGGCTGAAAGCTTCGTTGGTAGGAGCCCTACAAAGTTTGAGAACGAAAATGACCTTGACCTGTTTTCAAGG